AAAACAGAGGTTTGTACCTATGTTGTTTGCTTATTATTTCTTGCCTATATCTTGTAATATGAGAAACTACTTTGGCAGTAACGATACACAATGTACTAACCATTGTTACTCTCCTAAAAAAATAGATTTAGAAAACAATGAAGGAGACAGCACAGACAAAGAAAATGCTAGGCTGTCTGATCTGAGTGCTGGGGAGGATGGCTAGGCCAGCTGCAAAAGCCCCAGCAGCACAGCAGGTTTACATTGGTCATGCTATGTCCAGGCTTGTGTGTGGGTAGATGTGGGCATTGGATACTGGGGAGGATCAACTTAGAGAAGCAAAGATAGGGACCACTCGGTCCTGGACATGGGAAAGACCTGGAAATGAGGGTGAGGGAACAGATCAGAGGGTTTTGAGGAGAGAGGTGGCCTGGAGTCTGGTGGGTTTGAACTGAGAACATCATGGCTTGGCTGGAGACCAGAGTGCTGCGCCTCTGGGGGAGAGGCACCCATCAGAGGCAATGAGCTGACTCCCAGCCTTGGGCTCCCCCATCCACCATGTATGAAGCATGCTATATAGATACTGAGGGTCCCTGGTGTCCAGCTACCAGCCAGGGCAGATGTCTAGTTCCAATGTGGATGTTTAGACAAGAGATGTTTGCAACTAAATGGTTAAAACAGGGAGCAACTGAGGCAGGCCTTCCCAGAAAGTTTATCTGACTCTCTGTTATCACCCTATTCAGTGCAGTGGAAACCTATGCTTTGATTTTTGTTTTCACTCTCTTTCCATTCCACACATCAATAGAAACACAATCACACACAATGTGCACATATGCACACACACACACACACACACACACACACACACCCCTCAGGCATCAAGAACTCCTCTGGAACAAGCATTTTTCTGATGAAGCTCATTGGGAGTGAGAGAAAACAGTGCAGAGGAGAGCAAGGAGCCAAGTGAGCCATCCTAGCTACTCTTACTCCCCTTTAAGGCTGCCTGGTTACGGTCCTGAGGAAGAAAACCCTTGCGTTCCTCCCCTTTAACTGGGCGTATTGTTAACGCTTTGGAGCTGCTAATCCTCATAGACCTGTAGGAGCAGGAGAGGGAGCACCTGGAGCTTGCTTCTTCGATTCTTGATTCTTCCGAATCCCTGGGTAAGGCAAATTCTCTTCTCTCCTCTGAGGTGGGGTTTCCTTCCCTAGTGAGAGACACTCCTGCCTAGGGAGTATGTTTGGAGAAGCACTTTCCCAAGCTGCCACCAGCTGCCTTGGGCTCAAGGGTAAGTTGTAGCTTAAAGGGGTCTGGCAGGGCCTTCCTGGGCAGCATCTGACCCATGCCTCCCCCAGGAAGCTTTGCACTCTGGGCAGGGAGCGCAAGCAGCTGTCGTCTATGCCCTGTGCAAGGCTGGTGGGTGTCCTGGGTGGGTGTCCACAGCTCTCTCACCTTCCTCTCCTATTCGCCCTTCTCCCGCCGGCTGCCTGACCCCATCTGTCAAGCAGAGAGAAGCTTGCTTTGCCCGCTCTGCCCGCAGTCTGGGTTGCTGGGAGAGCTGACAGCAGCGGTGGGCAAAAGGAAATTTGTAAACAGCACGGGCTCTGCACAACCCTGATGCTCTGGCCGTGGGGGTCCCTGGCCCTGGCTGCTGTGCTATTGCTGTCAGCCACAAGACTTGCCTCCCTCTCCCTGGGGCATCTGCCTCCCTGGAGTCTTTAATCCTCTCCCCCCAGGGTAGTTCTCTGGCAAAGATGCCCAACGGAGGTCTGAGTTCACCAGCACCACCCCTGTCAGGGGTATGGCCCCTTCTCTCCAAGTAACTTTGACACACACACAGTAACTCCCAGGTTTCCGGAGGTGGCTGTGGGCTGGAGCTGTCTGGCCACAGTGTGTGCCTGGCTAGCCTCTGAATTAGGAACCAGATAACCTGGTGGTGAGAAAAATCTCTGGGAAGGCTTAGGAGAGTGGAGCAGATTTTGGGTGGGCAAGGTCAGGTGCCAGGGACGGAACCAGACCTCCATCATTCCACTACCCAAACTTAACCAGGACTGACAATGAGACCATCAGAAACAGGCCGAGACACAAAGTGCTTTGTAATACCTGATTCACAACTTACAGTTTGCAGCATGTCGTTCATTCATCTTTTAAGGACAGTCCCTCGGCTGAGGAGGGGCACTGACTGCTTCCCCCTTAGCATAGAGGAGACCCCAGAGCTCAACAGTTAAGCTGACAAAGCTTGACCTCAGTGGTATCTGTTTGAGGGTGATAGCATCTGAACCCAGGTCTCCGGGTATTGCAGTGACCTTTGCCTAATGATACAGATAACTACTGTGTATGGACGTGTGTGGGATGTGTGTGTGTGTGTGTGTGTGTGTGTGTATGCTTGTGTGTGTGTGTGTGTGCATGTGTGCGTGTGTGTGTGTGTGAAGATGGGGCAAAAACTTCGGGAAAAGCCTGATGTCCAAGTAAGGAAAGATTTGAACTGGAACACAGAGAGGCTCAGGTAGTGGGTGTGAGGCCCCCAGAATTATTGCTGGACCTTCTGCATGTGCTGGGACTCAGCCTCGGGGAACCCGTCCGGTGTCAATTTGCAGGACAGTGTGACACAGAGGCAGGTGGAGTGACTTCCCAGTAGCCACTGCCAAAAGAGGCAACAGGTTATGGAGCCTAGGGACAGAGAGCAGAGTAGGAGGCAGAGGGACTGGGGCTTCCCCTTTCTCTTCTTGCCTACCTGATTGGGGCATATGTCCTCTGCACCATCACTAGACAAGGGCTTTACCTTGAAAGGCAGTAGGGAGGCTCACTGGACAGGCCAAATGCCTAGCACAGGGCCCCACCCTGGTGCTGCTGGTCCACGGCTACAACGCAGCCTGGCTGGAAGGGAAAAGCATCCCCCTCAGAACCGCAAGCACCTCCCTTGCTCCCTCTCCCCCATACACACGCACACGCGGCCAGAAATAAATCGCCACAGGGTGAGCAGAATGCGTGCCGTGACGGCGCTCAGCCGCAGGCTGCCAGACCTGGTGGCGGAGTGAATGAGCTGCAGCATGAATGAGAGGGGGAGCCGCTGAGTCTGCACACCAGCTTCGTGCCTGGTGCTACAACCACAGGCGTGCAGCCACGGCCAGCAACGAGGGGCCAGGCCGAGCATGGCCTGCATGATGGCCAACAGGGCCAGGGCTGTGCAGGGGGCCTGCCCACAAGCATCACAGCCAGGTCACCAGGGAAAAGCTGGGAACACAGAGCTCTGTCCCATGCTCAGGCTGTCCTTCCTCCATGCTCCTCCCCATGTGACCCTGCTCTCCAGGCCTCGGTGCAAAGCATGACTGGAACAGTTAATGGGAATGAGCCCGAGACTGTGCAGCGCATCTTGTGCAGGGGTCAGGCTCAACCACAGCGCACAGCACCTGCTCAGCATTACCCTCAGCAACTCCTTAGCAAGGTGCCTGGGGAGACCAGTCAGCTGCCCCCAGGAAGCCCATGGAGCCCTCCTGTGGTATGACACAGCCCTGGTTCCTTGCATTCGCAGTCATGGTATAGGAAAAGAGTATATTCTGAAGTCAGCCCTTCAGAATCTCTGTGAGATGAATGCTCACCCATTCAGATGCACGGAGGCCCTGGGTCCTGCTGAGTGGACAGCAGAGTCCCCCTGACTTACACTGCTATTGAGTTCCTTGCTCTTTCACCAGTGCTTGATGTTTAGTTCATCTGTCACATGGGCCCACCACATGGCTCTTAGAGGCTCTTTGATACTTCCACCCTCAGAAGGGATATCGGGAGGCAGAGTAGGGATCATCGTTCCCATCTGGCAGATGAGGCGAGTGAGGCTCCATATGGCTGAGAGGGCCAGAATCACTGCTGTTGCCACTGATTGCTGTCTGTTGGTCCCTGTGCCACCAATGGGCTCTAGAAATGCCTTTCCTTTGCTTTGTGAGGTGCACACGGAAAATCTTGAGAACACGAGTTCCAGCCTGTTACTGCAGCAGGAGTGACGTCTTAAACTCCAATGTGGGTTTGTACCTAAAATAAACTGCAGGAGGCAACTGAACAACCTTCTTCCTCAGTTGTTCTGCGAGCAGAAATAACCGAGGCTCCAGAATGTGGACTAGCAGGCAGCTGGGAAAGGAGAACGGGCTCCAGGAGTTACAGCCCAAACTTCACAGAATGCTAATCTAGTCCATCTCCTCTTGGAAAATCAGAGTCGTGGGGTGACCGTTGGTGCCAACACAAGCCTGGGGCCAAAGCCTGGCTCCTTTCTAGTGTCCTTGCAGTCCAGTGTGGCCAGAGTTCAGGAAACTGGACCCAGAGCAAGAAAACTCCCGCATGTCTGCCGTTCGCCCCATTGCCACCCCTGAGGTCCAATCTCCATGGCTCCGAGAACCCGAGCCGGGAAGCAGCACACACTGTTATTAAAGCTGGTTCCGCTCACAGCCTCCCTCTTGGCTGCAGGCCTTCAGAGTTGTTCACCCTGAGTGTGGGAAGCCCTGGACCAGGGAGCAGAGTGTCCTAGGTGGCCTGGGTCCTCAGTGGCACTCACAGAGCCAGGCAAGTTCAGGAGCCAGGGATGCCAGCCCTCAGCCCATGCCTGGTACCTCCTTGCTAAGAACCCTGACAGAGAACATTGCAAAGACTCCCCACCTCAGGACTGAGATGCTCTCTGGGAGTGTGGGAGTGCAGAGGTGCCACCCAGGGTGTTCTCCTTGCCCGCCCCACCTCCCCTGGTGTGTTTTTGCCCAATTCAGGGCTGCTGTTTGTTCTGCCTGTGAGTACTTGGAACTGGATTGCACTGAGTGCCTTGGATTATAAGGTGAAGCTTGCACGAGGCCAGGACACTGTAATAGGAGGGCAAGCCTCGTTCCTGTCATGAATCTTCAGTGCACTCGGGTAGGAGTGTTTGGTAAAGAGGCCACTGTATGGAGGGGACAGGAGTGAGAGTCCAGAGAGAAGGTCCAGGCAGCCCGGCCTTTGAGGTGAATTACGAACTGAATTCCATGATGGCAACAAAGAGGCCCTGGCGGCATGGCTCATCTGCTGTGAGCTCTGTCCGGGACCCTGGCTGCTCCTGAGACCAGTAGGCCTGGAAGAAGAGGAGAGATAAGTATGAGGAAGGAACCTGAAGAGGTGCCTGCCTAAGGGGCCCAGCACCCACCCCTCACCAGCACATTATTTGTGGCCAGGCTGGCTGACATCAGGATCAGCCGTATCTAGAAGGACTGAGAGCACAGGCCTCAGGTAAGCTCCAACTAAAGCCACACTGCCTGCCCTCTAAGGAGAGCTGTCCCTCTGCAGCTTCACACCCAGCTGCAGCTCCCCCCAGATGCCAGGAAGCAAGCAGTACCACCACTCAGTATGATGGAGCACTAAGAAGGAGTGGGCAACACGCCAAGCCCAAGGGGCAATAAGACAGACCATGTCCTCACTTGTGGAGCTCCTTCTTAGGGAAGGAACCAGCAAGCCAGCTAGGTGCTTCAGAGTCAAGTGTGCTATCCAGGGAGGAGCCAGCTGGCCTGGTGTGGGCAGGCTGACTTAGGGACCATGGTCAGGGATGGGTTTTCACACATCCCAAGGACATTTTGCTAACCAAGGCTGATAGCACCCAGGTCCCTAAAGGGATGATGATAATAAGATGATTCTGTACTCTGCAGCCATCTTGCCCTCTGGGTCACACCATAGGCAAAGCCTCCCAGCGGGGACCTCACAGAGGAGCCTCACTGCTCAGGTGGCCTTGTGACAGGTTCCTTCAGGAGCATGGCAAGAAAGTATCTACCTGCCATCCTGACCCACCTGAAGCCCAGAGCCCCTGTGAGGTTGTTCCTGACCAATCTTCTCCCACAGTCTTCAACAACCTCATCTAACATGGGCTGAATTCAAGTGTGTCAGACACAGGGATAGCACTCAGAGTGGAGGGACTCGGCCATCTGAGTCCTTTCTGCAGACTGCCAACCTGCTGGTCTACATCTGCACACCCACACTTGGTCCTTTCAGTTTGGCTGAAAGCATCCCAAAGGGCATGCTTGTGTCCCAGGGATGTCAGTATTCAGTCCAGGGGGTAACAGGAGGAGCCCCGTCAGTGCTTGCCCAGTAAAGGAGCGCTACCGTGAGGACCCAGAGACAGTCCCAGGATGCGGCCACTGCTGCAGAGTCATCAGGAGCATCTTGCCACGCTGAGGAGACAGGGCCTAAGCCATCCTCTCCCGCACACAGCACCCACACTCTGCCTGAGAACCAGCCCAACATCCAAGAAGTCTGTGGCAGCTGCTCCTGAGCCCCACAGCCCAGTGGAAGTTGTCACCAGAAATAGAGGGAGAGGCAGAGAGTGCTTGGGAAGCAAATGCAAGCCGCGCTGCAGCTCTCGGCTTCTCAGAATTTCTTTTCCTCTCTTCTGAAAAGAATGAGATTGCAGAACTCCCAGAGAAAGGAGGAGAGGGCTTTCATGGAAAGAAGCAGGGTGCGTGCAGGGAACAGGACCGCCCTGGCCGGGCTGCCTAGGACCCTCCACAGCAGCAAGGGGCTGCGACTGAGAGCAGCTGGCACGCTGAGGCAGGAAGAGCCCAAGATTGACCTCACCTTAGGCATCATAGCCCCTAAGCGAGACTCTGTCCTCAAAACTAAAATAAGAAAAAGGCTGAGGATGTAGGTCTGTGTGAAGGCCCTGGGTTCAACCTCACGTACCTGAGCGGAGGAAGTCGCTGGCAGGTGTGATGCTCAGATCAGGGCCCTGGAGCCTTCCACATGGCGCTCACAGTGAAACTAAGTGCTTAAGACTCAGTGTGTGGGAAGTAGGTGGGCGGGAAAGATGTTTTCTACGGCCTCTCCTAGGCTAAGAATACTGTGTTTTTAAAGCTATTTAAGAGAGACGGGGCAGAAGGAACAGGGAGTTCCTAAAGCGGTTGGGCTGCCGAAAGCAGCGTCGTTCCGCAGGGCTCCAGCAGGGGGCATCAGCGCGCCGGGTCCTCGCCCTCAAGGGGGCTGTGTGGACATGAGCACAGAGAACAGAGGCGTGAGTAACCTGTCTTCGGAATGCACAGCTGTAGTGTGTCCCCCGGGAAGGCGCTGTCCCACAGCCTGGGCCAGGTCCACACCCCAAAAGACTGCAGCCTGGACTTTCTGGCCCCATGGGACGGGGATGCGCATGCTCCCTGTGCCCAGCACCCTGAAAATGGAAGCAGCCAGAGTTGGGGCACCGAATCTGCAGAATGGGCCTGGTCAAGCGTATCTCCTGCCTCCAGAGAGCGTCCGGCCCGCCCCCAAGAAGTGACCGGCAGGAACTCCCAGACGGAAGGGTCCAGCTCAGCCTGACCCCACACCTGCACTCTCCCGGATGCCAAGCCACGGAGACACAGACTTCCTGTTGTTCTGGGGCATTAGAAGGCCTCAGCGGTCTGGGCACAAAGGGTGTTGCCTAAGAGGTCACCGTGAAGACCACCTGGGAACCCTGCATGCTGCTGCCCTAACTGGTGGCCAGGCCAGGACAGCAGAGGCTCCCTCCAGTGCATCCACCCGGTGCCCTGCCATGCTCAGAAGCCTGGGAGGCCCACTCGCCCTAGATTCTTCTTCCAGAACTGTAGGCCAATGCCCAGGCCATCCCAGCCTGCCTCCTCCCCTACACTGCTACCTGAGCCAACCCCCATGGGCTGTGCCCTCCAAGTCTGCCCCGTACCCATTTCTTTGCAGCAGCTGGTCCCCGAGGTCACGTAGAGCTGCGAGCTTGAGATCTGTTCCTTCCAGAAGACATGCTTCACACACCCTCTGTGTGCACAGCTCCGCAGGCTGCCCTGAGCCGACCCATGGGGAGGCCTTCCTGGCCCTGCCTCGCTGTGTCCTCCCCATCCACACTTCCAACAGCACACATGTGTCAGCGTGCCAGTTGCCTGTCTCCTGTGCCCAGCAGCCCCAGAAAGTTGTCCCAAATCCTAGCATTGGGCAGGGTTCGAGTGCCAACAAATACATGTCGACTGTTGAAGAAAACAGTGACTGCCCTCTGGTCTAGCCATCATCCCAACACTCTGGGAAGCTGAGGCAGGAGAAGTCCAAGTTCGAGCCCAACCTGGACAACTCAGAAACTTGGTGAGACCCTCAGTGTCTCAAAATAAAACATAAAAAAGGGCTGGAGGTGTAGCTCAGTGCAAAGTTTTCATAACCTGTACCACAAAATAAATAAATAAATAAGAAAAAGGTAACTCTAGAACTCTGACACAATTCAATTCAGATTCTGATGAATAGTTATTGCTTGCACTGCGTGAGATGCTGTAGGAGCTACAGAGAAAACACAAAGCTTGTTTATTTAAGCTATAATGAGTAGAGGAGAGGGAAAAGATGAGGGGGCTGTGCTGTGATGCCAGAAGAGAGGCAGGCTGGCTCAGGGGTCTGAATCAGCATTCTGGGGATGGTTTAGTGACACAGGAGACGTCCAGCTCACGTCCTGGGAGACACTGCACCCACTACCCTTCCCTAACGTGCTGCTTGCAGGGAGGGTTTCCACTGCAGGGCTCTGACTCCTTGAGCACCATGTGGGGGTAGCAGATAGTCAAAGAAATGTGCTGAAGGTATTTTCAGAAGCAAACAGGGCTGTGTGTGGTGGTGCACACTGCAGCACTACGGAAGGCTGAGGTGGAAGGATGCACCCAGCCTGAGCAAAAAGTGAAATAAAACAAAAAGGACTGCGATGTAGCTGAGTTCAGTCCCCGTTCATGTCTCACACACCTTGGCGTGAATGATGTGCTTTAGATTCTTCTGCAGTTCGCTCTCCTACTGCTGTAGAAATTGCAGCTTGTTGATCAGACCTTTGCTTTTCTCCTCCTTCCTCCATCTCTCCCTCCAACCAAGCGACTCCAGCAGCTTCCACTCTGGAGGTGATGGGACGAAAGGAAGAAGATGACTGCAGCTCCTGGAAGAAACAGACCACCAACATCCGGAAGACCTTCATCTTCATGGAAGTTCTGGGCTCGTAAGTGCTGGGCTTCGAAGCCCTGAGCCTGGCCAGCCTGGCCACAGGCTGTAGTAAACAAACTACCTGCAGCTGAAGAGATTCAGTCTCAGTAGTTTTTAGGGACCTGGGGAGTTTTGTGGCATGTAGGGTTTGGGAGAGGCATGATCCCACAGGGGATACCAGCCCTTTCCTCGGGTTCTGCGTCTTCCTGTGCCATCACTGTGCATCCAAATTCCTACATCCTGCAGTGCCTGTGGCAGCCCCTTGACAGAGATTATGTGGCTGGCAGACCCCAGACAGCCTGTCTGGAGCTGCCTGTCTGCTAGCCAGGCCTCTCTCCCAGGAGGCTGCATCTCTGCTCTCTGACGCAGGCTGCCAGCCCCAGCTGGTCAGCTAATTAGGCGGCAGCAGCATGAGTTGGACTTGGGTGGAGGGGAGTGGAGTGCTGGCTGTCCGAGTAGGCAAGCTTTTCTCCCACCAGCTCTGGCTAAGTGTAGCTCCACACAGCCCTAGACAGAAGCCAGTGAGCTCGCTGCAGACAGAGCAGAGCTGGGCATGGTGGGAAGAGATCTCTGCTCCCCACCCAGAGACACAGGCAGGTTGGCAGGCTGTGCATACACAGGAGCCAGAGCAGTGGTCATCAGCATGCTGGCTGCCCACCAAGAGGCCTCTGCCAAGACAGCATGGCTGGAGAAAGGATTTCAGCAGGAGAGACAGGCTCATGAGTAAATCAGAGGGTTCGCTAAGCATATCCAAAGGCAAGGGAAGTGGAAAGAAGAAAGCCCAGGCTGACAAGAGAGTGTCCATCATCCGCCTAGAGGCCCGCCATCAACTTTGGTTAGGCAGGTGCATCTCCTCACAATGCTCCATGAAGTATGTTGCATAGGTGTCTGAACCCAGAGGGACAGCAGGGTCGTGAGAAGGCTGTCACCCCACCCTTTCTCTGTGACAATGTTCATACATAAAGAAAACCTGAGACAGTAACACAGTACAGTGAGCACCAATATTCCTTCCACCTAAGCCCACAGTTACTAACATCTCGTGCAGGTGGTGCTCAGTATCCTTGGTCCGGTATCTACGAGTCCAACCAATGGAAGAGCCAAGGTTGTGGGAGTGGGGTGGGGGTGCATCTGGACCTAAACCTGCCATGTTGAAAGCACTCTCAGTGGAGCTCTCAGCCCAGAACTGATTTGGGGACAATGGCCAAGTCACAGCTGTCCCACAGTCAGCACTGGATGAGGTGAAAGAGGAAGCCCATCTCTGGCCACTGCCTTCGTACACCACGCTGGTGCTCTGCAGGGACACAGGCACCCCGATGCTGCAGGTGCTACAGTTACCAGAGTGAGGTTGATGGAGAGAGAAGCAGCTGAGAATCAAACAAAAAAAGTGCAACCAGGCCCCCATTCAGCATGCGCTGCCGGCCCTGAAGGTCCTGCCCATCTCACTTCCTGACCCATGTCACCTTTGCTGTTCAGAACTAGTTCTCTGCTTCCTGTCCCCTGCTGTTCCATTGGCTTCCATCTTCTCTGTCCCAAGACAGCCCTCCCCAGAAGCTTCTAGGCTCTGTCATTAGGCCTTGCGGGTCCCCTGCAAAAATGAGGATGCTGGGTCCCTTTGTGTCCTGAAAGCTGGAGCAGATTGATTATCACCTTCCAGGATAATCACCCCCCACCCCTGTGGCAAGAGCAGGTGAAGCCCTCTAATCTACCGCTTGTGCTCCCTGCCCATGCACACAGTGTGTGTGACTGAAGTGGCCCAGGACAGCAGGGCAGCAACACCGTCTCAAGTTGCCATGACTGCACAACTCTAGGAGGCGCTGTCTATGTAGAGCACAGGGTGCATGGTAGCCTCACCCTGGGCAAACTGAAGGCCCTAACTTGATGTCATTCTCTAAGAGGCCCCAGAGTGAGTGACAGCTGTGAGACCAGTGGAGCATCCAGTGTGGTGGGTGGCAGGAAGAACTCTGTGGCAGGTCCTAGGACACCATGGCTTGAAGGAAGCTTTGAGGCCACATAGCTCCACTTTCATTGCACAGATTTGGAAAGCAATGTCTAACCATGAGGTGCACACACAACTAATCCTAGCTCAAACTTCTCATCTATCCATCCTGTAAATAGATGTTGAGTATTTTCCTTATGCAATCCAGCATAGGAACTGGTACCCACCCATACCTGTCTTCTGTTATGCCCCCCTGCTGCTCCACACCTTTGCACTGTTCCTTTTGGTTCCTCCTACTCCCACCTCAAATAGCTCCATCTCTTGTTTTCACTGGCTAACTCATTCACCCCTTAAAACTGAGCTCAAAAGTATTTTTACATCAAAGAGCCATGCATTATGTGTCCCATGGCTATCCAAAACGGTCAGTTTGTGCAGATTTGCCTAAGTTTCCCCTTTTCCTAACAATCTGCCTGCTGTGGAGTGAGGAATTGTAGCAATTATCACAGTAACACCTTGGGTCTTCAAGGTGAGTGGCATCTGCTGGCATTGGACGGTGCAAACCTTCCCTGCGGCTGCCCAATGGACCCGGTAGTAAGTGCTTATTTTCTGTAGTCTCCTGAGAGTCTCTTCTCTGAGTCTACACATCATACTGGGTTCTAAATTCACCACAGTGTCTGACAGAGGTCCCAACAGTTCTACAGGCACTCAGGGAGCCTCTTGCATCTGCTTTCAAATCAAATCCTCATTGCTCGCTTGCCTGTGTTCCTTCCCAGTGTCTGGGCCCCTCAGAATGGAAACTCACCCACCTTTTCATCTCCAGTGTCTAAGACTCAGTCAGTGCTCTGGAGATTTGGGTGGGAGGGACTCATGGCAGGGCAGACGTGGAGACCGAGCTCTGACGGCTCCAACAAAGTCTGTTCTAAGTACATCCTCTGGGGGGCACAGGAATACCCAGACCCCAAGAGGCCAAGTGTCATCTAAGTGGATATTAAAGTCTTCACAAAGGCTTGACCACCCTCCACCCTCATCCTAGAAGACACAGAGGGCAGAGAAGAGGACGGGTCTTGTTCATCTATTCTATCTGCCCTTGTTTGACCAGCTATTCCTGCACTGGTCTTCCAGTAGTGATCACAATGGAAACATCCAGTGCCTTTGGTTTTATTAGATATCAGTAATACTTGAAGCACTCTACATGTTTTGGCTTTTTATTCTAAATAGCCAACCTTACAAGTCACAGATAGTCCATATCCCCACGTTTCAAATGAGAAAACTGAATCTGTAGAAGTTAAGATACTTGTCACCTAATCAGGCAGGGCCTGAGCCCTAGCTCACCTGCTGTTCTGTTGGCTTCCATCTGCTCTGTCCCCAAACAGCCCTCCCCAGAAGCTTCTGGGCTCCGTCATTAGGCCTTGTGTGTCCCCTGCATAAATGAGGGTGCTGGGTACCTTTGTGTCCTGAAAGTTGGAGCAGATTGATTATCACCTTCCAAAGCTCACAAGCTACATCTGAGCCTCTCCCTGATGCCTCAGCCCCTGCCATTTCTTTGAGCCACACCGAAGCATGTTGGGGTAGACTCCGTGGTGGTTTCTCTTTAATAGAGAAACCTCTGCAGCTAAAGCAAAGTATTTGGGAGTTGTCACGAAACTGTATGAGCAGGCAAAGCACTTGCCTCCCACTGATTCCAGGCCAGATCTCTTCCTTCCCATAAGCTCTGTGATGGAAAGAGCACCCTGGCCTATCAGATAGGCCTTACCACCCATACAGCTCATCCCAAGGGAAACCCCTCATCAGCTGTACCCTCCCTCATCCACCCTGTCCCCCTGCTTCCAGAATGTTCCCTACCCCACCAGAACTAAGTTCTGTCTCTTGGCATCTTCCCCCAGAGGAGCTTTCTCAGAAGTGTTCCTGGTGAAGCAGAGGGTAACTGGGAAGCTCTTTGCCCTGAAGTGTATCAAGAAGTCACCAGCCTTCCGGGACAGCAGCCTGGAGAATGAGATTGCTGTGTTGAAGAAGTGAGTTGGTCTCAGGGTGGGTCACATCCTTCACAAACGACCTTCCAGAACTCCTGAGCTAGAGGGCCACACCTGGGGCACTGCTCCCTAGATGAGCCAGCGGGTCAGTTCGGTCAGTCACCTCAGTTTAGTCAGACAGCTGTCCTAGCTGAAATATTTCTCCAGCAAATTGAGCAGAGAATGCACTGGTGGCAGAGTCAGGCTGTGCATGTGGGGAAAGAATGTAATTAACTCAAAGGAACAGAAGTCAAATGGCCGTTAGAAAGAATCAATAAGAAGGAGGCAGCTTCAGACTTGGAAATTAGCTGCAGTTTTATCCAAAGCAAATGTAGGCTTGGCACCCTGACCATCAGGGTAGAGACTACACTAACAAACCCTCACATGTCGTGAGTGCAACTCTTAGGAAGAGCCCCTGTGAACTCCCAGGCTTCACCAAAGGTCTGTTCAGTGCACTGATAGGGTCAGGACCATGAGGATGAAGCAGACAAAGCTCCTCCCCCTCAGGAGTACCCATGCCCCAGGTGGAGGCTGAGCTGCCTTGCAAGCCCCACCCCCTTCTGATATGATGACATGCAGAAAGCACTGTGTGGAGAAGGTGGGGAGGTGTCCTGCCTCTGAGGTGACCTAGCAGTGCAGGACAGGAGGCATATGTTAAAAGAAGAAGGACCTTGATGGATGAGTAGAATTGTGTGAACAAAAGAGGGGCAGTGCAGAAGAGGAAGGAGTTCAGACTGAGAGCACCACAAACTTTTAATGTCATAACGATCATGAAAGTGCAGAGACTGTTAGGGAAGAGTGGGTATTGGAAGCCCCTGAATGGAGTGAGCAGCATCAGAGGATGGGAAATGGAACTAAAATACTGGAAGGCCCTGACGTCAAAGGTGCCATGCTAAAGACTGTTGGCTCTTTTCTGTGGGCAACAAGAAGTCATCAAAGGATTGTAAACAGGACTCATAACTGGACTAGTATTTCAGAGCCATCTTCCTTAGGCATAGTAGAGATAGGTTGGAGGAGACCAGCAGAGAGGGTGGGAGCCTATTACAAGATTTTCACAGTAATAGGCATGGGGGAGGAAACAAGTAAAGGTAGTGGCGGGACTATATGGAGGAGGGACAGCTACGACAAGAACCATTTCAGAAAGCAGTGATTGGGCTTGGGGTTCACTCTGAAGAATATAGAAGAAGAATATATCCAAAATTATCCTGAGACTAAGCATGCATCCAATAAGTGGGACATGATACCATTTCTCAGGGAGGAGAGCAAAAAGTGTAGATTTGGAGGAAATGGAAAGAAATTGGTTGGATTATATAGAAGACAGGTATCCACATGTCTTTGTAGGGAGGTGTCTAGTAGGATATTGAAGATAGAGATCCACACTCCAGGGAGATGAGGGTGGAGAGAGAGCTTGTAAAGTCACTGAGAGCAAAGACCGTGGTATACTCAGCAAATATTTTTTAGCAAATGAATAATTAATAAATTTATGTTGGCATGGGGGCCCATGAGTACAGTTAAATCGACCAAGTAACCACAGCAGCAGTTCATGATTTTTAAAATGTTTGAAAGGGGACAGCTACTGTGATGTGTTGGCTAATCCCCGGGCACTGTAGTGAGCGTTTGCAAAGTGTTGTCTTCTAATCTTGAGCTAGCCCTGTGAGAGAGAAGCACTTTTCTTATGAGGAAAATGAAGGAGCTTAGAAGATTTGAGTTGATTGAGAAAACCAACTCAAGTTTCCTGGTGAACACATGTCTGCACTGGATCTGAACCCAGAACTGGATGACTCAGTCTAAATTCTTAGCCCTTGAGCTACATAACCATGAGTAAAACTTCCTGGAGAAATTCTTCCTCCACAGCATGACTGCCCGGGAAGCCAGGCCCTTTCATTAATATGATTAATATACTCGTCTTGGTCTCAGAGGGGAACACAATGGTGACCTCATGCAGGGGTTCCTGACCACTGCATGGGTGACACTCTGGACTGCCTCGCTCTTCATGGTATCAGGCTTTCCTGCGCATTGCTGGGCATCTGTCTGCGTTGCTGCCTCCAGTAGTATCCCCCACGCTCCAAGAGTGACTACTGAAAATCTTCTACATGTTGCCAAATGCTCCCTAAGGAGTGAAAGAACCCCCTGCTTGAGAACTGCTAATAATTATCTCACAGAAAAAAAGGGTTCTCATTGTTTTTCACAATATCCTAGAATTGTAAATTTTCAACACTTTCTTCACGGGTACCCAAGGGGGAGCTCTGCTAACTAAACCCCTCGTGTTGGGGTAAACTTCCTGCATGCCACGTTTGCACAAGAGATCTCTGCATATCCATTTTTGTAGAATAGCCCAATGTTGGGTAATCCCTTCAGCTCCCTCTGTTATTTGTTTCTTTGTTTGTTTGTTCTTTTGGGGGCTGATGAAGTTGAAATCCAGGGCCTCCTCATACCCAAGACAGGGTGTGTCACTGAGCTACAGCCCCAGCCCTTCTTCAGCTCTTTTAACTTTCTCAAGTCTAATGAAATTCCTGGGGTAACATGAAATGCTTCTCAGAAGTAGTTTGATCAGTTATTTATTCAATAACTTGGGCTGTCTGCTCTGGGATTAATTGGCGACAGCCTACTCATCAGGCAGGCTCCCCAGGGACCCTGTCTTGCTAATTATTACCATCAAAAGATGTCCAGCAGAAACTCTGGGATTGGCCCTGCACTCTCTCATGTGACCCTTACTTCTTCGCAGGATCAAGCACGAGAACATTGTGACGCTGGAGGACATCTATGAAAGCACCACACACTACTACCTGGTCATGCAGCTGTAAGTGAAAATGGACCTATTCCCTCCCAGAGGCTGGCCAGGCCCAGAGTTTTGTCAGTGGTAAGGGCAAGGTGATGATTAACAGGCAAAAGTCAAGAATTAGCTCAAGTAACTCCAAAATGTTGAGTCCAGTGAGGATCCATATGTCTCTGGCCACAGGTATGTTGTGTGTGGCCAGAGAGGTAACCCTGAGGCTGATCACTAAATTGCTACACACCACCATGGGCTTACTAGTTGTTAAATGTTTCCTACAGGTGGACAAACAGCTGTCCATGCCCTTTTGCTGCCCCACTTTTTCTTTCTGAGATGTGCCCATTCCCCAGCAATTGCAGGTGGAATGCCAGCCATAGTGCAAGCCCAGGACCCTTTTCTGGCACCATGGCCTGGGTCTGTCTTGACTATCCGTGTCCATTGCATAGATGGTCAATACTTTAGCATCACTCCAGAGGGAAAGTGCTGTAGCAGTAGAGGCCACACATAGACTTCAATTCAGTAAGAAAAAGACTTTCTCAAAGTTCAAAGCAAGCTGTGATTGTGTGGGGGGCTGTAGGACAGAAGTAAGGCTTCACTGAAAAGTCAGTGTCAACATCAGAGCCATGTTAAGTGTGCTACATGGTTGTGACTGCTTTGTGGGCTGGGCGGTGCCCCTGCAGGCTCAGCCTGGGCCTGAAGACGTGCATGCAACAGTCATATGGAGCAGGCACGTGATGCCCGTGCGCACACTGCTCTGCCGTCTCAGTGTGGCTAGAGGCCACAGGGTCTCATTCCTTGGACCTGCCACATGTTAACCCAGGCATAAGAGGCTCCTCAAGGCCTAGGAAAGGGAGACGGGGTAGCCACAGGAGTGAGGTAGGAAGGGCCCAGAATGGCACCAAGTGATCTGGGACCATGTGGCTCCTGCAGGTGGCCAGGTCAACAGCATTAGCACAGTCACTCTTGGGATAACAAGAGGCAAAGAGTTAGAAACTTACATATCACTCAGAAGTCACCAAGCTTCTAATATCATGGTGCTGGGACCCAGCCACTCATGTCCAGGACATCAAGTTCAGAGCTGTGGACCTCCAGCTCCCATAGCACAGCTGAGCACCCAAAGGCAGAAACAAAGGGAGCAGACAGTGTAAGCTTGGCTGGCAAGACCAGCCCTCATCGCTGCGTGGTGCTGCCTATGTGTGCAGCCACATTTATTGACAGAGGACAGCGGGCAGGGGCAGGACCATGAGCGGCCCACACGGAAATGGTGTGGGGATCTTCATCCCAGAGAAGAAAGGCCAGGCCGCGGGAGTGCAAATTTGAAAAGATTCGTGTGAAAGGAGGTTTCTCTTGTTCTGCTGGATGCTGGCAGAGCAGGGCATGAGGCTCAACACAAAGTACAGAAATGTGATGCAGATGTCACAGCTGAAATCACCCACCAGAGGAGGCAGGGAGCTCTCTGACACTCCGGGGTTCTAGCACTGACTGAGAAATTTCCAGGCAGATGTCATAGCTGGTAGTCAAAGGGCACAGCCGGGCTTGGTCGGAGATCCTCAAACACCGTACATACAGGTCTCACAACACCCCATACCCCTACCTGAAATTATAGCTGCAGTAGCCCAGCTTTCCACATGGACCAAAGAAGCCCTGTTAAAGCACAGGCCTCCTTATTTTCATGCTTCTCTTTCCTACTGTGCCCAAACTGGTGTCACCTTCCTCTCTCACCAGGGCTCCCTGTGTCCAGGGGTTAGTAGCTTCTAAGGCAGCCCCAAACCAAGGTATCTGCTAGATCCTGCTTGGTCCCACAATGACAAGGCTGCCTCATGATACCATTGCAGGCCCTGGAGGAGGTGCTGGGAGCTGCTGTGGTCCCCTGCTAGCCACAGTCCCTGGCACCTGCCTGGCCATGCCACCTGTGTCCTCTGAGGCTGCGGGGCAGACACCTGTGCATCTCTGCAGCCTGAATTTAGAACTGCACTCCTGTGCCCACAGAGTTTCCGGCGGGGAGCTCTTCGACCGCATCCTAGAGCGAGGTGTCTACACAGAGAAGGACGCCAGTCTGGTGATCCGGCAGGTCTTGTCAGCAGTGAAATACCTCCATGAGAATGGCATCGTCCACAGAGACCTGAAGGTGCAGGGCGGGGATGCCTGTGGGCACACAAATCATGGTCCTTAGGAGGCCAGGGACTCAGAAATCGAAGGGGTGGAGATTGAAGATCAGCCTCGTTGGCTTGGCTCCTAGATCTCCTCTGCCCTCAGATTCCTTAAATGAGCATGAGGTGGCTGAACACGCACTATTAATTTGCACCTTAGCCTTTCCGGATCCTTTCATGACAACTTACCCCATCTGGGTACTAAAATAATTCCTCCATTTCTGAACTCAGCTACAGATGAACTCAAGTGCAACAAATGCCCACTGAAGGGCTACACAGCCCCTGGCATTGCCACTGGCTTCAGTGAGACCAGAGACCATTAACCAAAGGTTGATTCCCTCAAAAAACAGAGCTGGGAGGTAGCTATCGCATGGGGAGGGGTCACAAGGCTGAGGCAAGTCACAGAGCTCTGGAGTACAGGAGGGAGGCTCAAGTAGGAGTGAGTTGAGTCCAGAGCCCAGGGCTCTGCTTCCTGAAAGTTCTATTATGTCAAGAGGAAGGAAGAGGACTCACTTCAGGCATGTGTGGGGTTTCTCCTCTTGTAGCCTGAGAACCTGCTGTATCTCACCCCTGAGGAGAACTCGAAGATCATGATCACAGACTTCGGACTGTCCAAGATGGAGCAGAGTGGGGTCATGTCCACGGCCTGTGGGACCCCAGGATATGTGGGTGAGTCTGGGAGCAGGCAGAAGTTGACCTCACTCCTAAAGAGGGAGATTATGAGGAGTCAGGGTTCAGGGTCAAGGATCATCCAGGCAGAGTGCTCCACTAGGAAGCTTAGGGCCAGCAGGGCAGCATTCTCCGGACGCCTCCCTCTCCAGCTCTCAAGGCCCAAACCTAAAGACAGACTAGCCCTTCCTTCCCCAGCTGCCACCTCCCCTGCAGACTCTGCTTTTGCCTCTCCAGAAGATAGGATCCCAGAACCAGATCCTCCCTCAGGAAGGGCAGTGGGTTGAGCACTCCCCCTACCCCACCCACTCTAGAGAGCTCAGTTCTCAGCTGTGGGCAGCCTAGCAACACAGGTTGTGAGTTTGGGCCCAGACACAGACCCCCAGGCATCTCCCCAAGGAGGCACCCAGAGAGCTGGCCAAGATGGGCCTCCTGCCAGAGCAGCCCTGAAGGTTCATCACAAAGTGGGAGTAGACAGGGAGCTGTGAGGGTTTCCGGGCCTGGAGCAAGCTGAACATGAGGACATCTGCCTGCCCCTTTCCTCCTGGCCAGAGAGTAAACCTATTTGCTCTCTGAAAGGGCAGCCAAGCACTCAGAGGAAGACAGCTCAGTTGGGACACAGCTGGGCATCGGGGAAGCACAGAGGTACCCATCTACTGTCCAGGCTGTCAGACAAAGCGGTCACAGACTAGGCTTCAGTTGAGTCTGGGGGAAATTCCTACCTGTGCCCACTCCTACCTGGAGTTCTCCTAATCTGAAGGGAACAATACAACCTGGGGACCCAATCTGAGCTGGGAAACAAAGCCCAGAGAGCGCTCAGTCTTACACGGGCATCAGTGCTGGAGAGCCCCCGTCCAAGGGCTGCGTCCTCCCTCACGAGGTTATTGTCTTCCCTCATGAGGTCAGCCTTTCTCACAGGAAGATTTGGCCTGTGGAGTACCACAGAGGCACCGCTGTGCCAAAGGCCACTCCTGTCCTCTTAGGCTCTTCTCAACCCACAGTCCCACTGCCCCCAGGCCTTTGCTCCCAGCCCTGACTGTCATCTGTCTGCCACAGCTCCAGAAGTGCTGGCTCAGAAGCCCTACAGCAAGGCTGTGGACTGCTGGTCCATCGGCGTCATCACCTACATACTGTGAGTGGAAGTCGGCATTGCCTCTGCACCTCAGAAACCTCAGTTCTCCTTCACTCCTTCTTCCCCACCTCTGCCTTGGCGCACACACACACACACACACACACACACACACACACACACGCACAGAGCACCAAAGCTTCCCTGGTCCTACCCTCCACACATGCCCCATGCACCCCTGGGCCTCTCTCATCTCACCTGCACGCCTACCTGCCCTATATAGATGCAGTGTGGCCCAGCAGAGGAAAGAGAGAGTCCAGGCCTGGCTTGGAGCCAGGGGACCTGCTGCCCCCTCTCAGCTTCCTCTCCTGCTGACCTGAGCTCAGGGCAAAACCAGGGCTCCGGCGCCATGGGTCAGCCCTGCTCAGCGGTTCCCAACCTCACCCGTTCCTACCCACTCATCACTTCTTTCCCACATCCCACACATGCGTAGCAAATTCTACTTTGAAGAAAATAATCTTCCAATAGATGTTGGCCCCTCAGCATGGACTCGGTTCTCTGCTTCCTCAGCTTATTTAGAATAATTGTTCTTGTCCTTGCATTTGTTCAGCACATGGTCACACTGTCCACTCAGAGTCAGTTTCTGGTGCCAAAGAATGGACCAGTGAGCGAAGCCACATAAATAAATCACTCATGGCACTGAACGCAGGGCCTTCACTGAACTACTCCCCCAGGTCTTTATGTTACATTTTTACATGAGATCTCTAAGTCACTGAATTACTCTAGTTGGTCTGGAATTGAACTTGAGATCCTCTTGCCTCAGCCTCCCAGAGTACCAGAGCTACAGGTGTGCAGCACTGCATCCTGCATCCAGCCTTCTACTCTCCTTCTTAAATAAATTTTGTACGAAGCACCTGAGAGTCAGAGAAAGTACAGGGAGAGGCGGTGAAGGCTGAGGCACAGTGCACACACAAAAGCCTGCTGGCTCTTCCCCTCCTCGGGGACCTGTGCTACGTTCTGGCCAAACTGCTGGCCAGGAGCTCAGTGCCCATGCACATGCACAGTAGGGGCCAGATGAAAGGCTGAGCACAGCCCCTTCTTGTCCACTGCAGGCTGTGCGGGTACCCACCTTTCTACGAAGAGACCGAGTCTAAGCTTTTTGAGAAGATCAAAGAAGGCTATTATGAGTTTGAGTCTCCATTCTGGGATGACATTTCTGAGTCAGGTAAGGCAGTGGGAATGGAGGACAAGATAACAAGTTAGGGACAAAGCTGTCAGAAGCAAAGGGTGACAGTGCTGGCTCTTCAGAGTCACTAGGGAACAAGAGAACAAGCTGCCCGTAGGGTCACCATCACCTGGCTCAAAGGCAGCAGAATGGTTGGCATCTAAGGCTCACACTTCTGTTTTCCAGAGGCTAAGTCCTAGTGTACCCGGGGGCAGGGGGCCAGCAGAAGAGAGGCCAGGAGGACAGTGTAAGGGCGGGAGAGCTCCGGGTGGGAGCACAAAACCTCAGCATTAGGCGCTCTGCCCAAGCGCACTGCGGAGGAGGCCTCTAGGCAGCACGGTGGACTACCAAGTGCAGATCACCTGCACTCACGTGTGCCCACGTGTGGTGCTGGCCATGTGCAGGTGCAGACACACATTCACGGGGTGCACAGGCACGTGGGCGCCCGTGAGCAGCGAGGTTCCCCCAGCGCTGTGTGGGGGAGGCTGCTGACAGCCTCTCTTCTTGGGTGGCTCATGGTGGGTTGTTAGGTGGTTTGAATTTTTTTCTCTCTTTTTAAAATTCTTAAAATTGCCTCTTTGAAAGATTAGCTAAAGCTGCTTTCACCACCACCCACCAGCCCGGAAGTGAATTTCCATCAGTCATGAAATCTGCTCTTAGCCGCTATGTCTCTGATTTTTCCCCTTAGCGAAGGATTTTATCTGCCACTTGCTGGAGAAGGACCCGAGTGAGCGGTACACCTGTGAGAAGGCCCTGAGGCACCCTTGGTGAGTGAGGAAAGGGCAGTCCCAGATGGGGGCTCCCAGAGCTGCCATGATTCACTCGCCCAAGGGGCATGCTCCGGAGCCAGCTTGCCGTGCGCCCCAGTGACAGCACCAGGAAGCTCGCTCGTGCTTGGGGCCCACACCAAGGGGCTGTCCTTCATGCTGGTATCTGCCTCTACCTAGTACAGCGCTCAGCATCTGTGATGTAAGGAGACCCTCTGCTGTCCTGAGCGTTCATTTCACACTAAGGTGAAAACCTGTTCCATGTGAAGGGATTTAACAGCAATCACAAAGCAGCCAGTTGGTAAAATGGGTGAATAAAATCTTGCAACAGTTTTTTCCATGCTGCTGCCACTGTTGAAGAATTTACAATAGCTTCCCACTTCCTATCACAGCAGTGCAGCGGATGTGCAGCTCACGACCGGCCTGACAAGCGAGCAAACCGGGTTATAACCAGAGTTTTAGTTTTAATTTTTGACCAAAGTTTTGAGTTAGGATCCAGATGTAAGTTGCTTGTGTTCATAGATTTGACCCTTTAAACATTCCAGAAGGAACATTACCACATCCTTTCCTGTATGGAGTTACCTGAGAAATCCTGGGCCAGTGTCTCTCCAGGGACACTGAGATCTGCCTGTGTATAGGAGAGAGGATTTGAAGGCTGTGTGGAGGAGCCTTCATTGGACAACTTGACTCACAGTCAGTCCTCAGGAATCAGTTGAGTTGCTGGGCCAAGGGTCCACTGTACTGTCTCTCCTGCTTCCCCCAGTCTGGTCTGGCCCTTGACCTACAGGATTTCCCACAGACCATCTCTGTTCTGAGACCAGCAGCTGCATTCCCTCCCTGTGCTCCGTACTTCACACACCGAGCTCTCTCCTTAGGTGCTCCCCCATTCACCATGAGGATGCCCTGCCTCTGGCCTTCTGTGTCACCTCCTTTAGGACCCAGGTCCCTTCTCAGAAGCCCCTGACTCCTGCAGTCCATGCAGACCCCTCCCCGTCTCTCTTTATTAATTAAGGAGTTCCCATAAATTTCTCTGGTCCATAGCATAGAGCAAACCCAAACACCTAGACCATGGGCTGCTAGGCACGGGACCCATGTTGCCCACTTCTCGAGGTCCTTTAGTGGATGTCCCAGTATGGTGCACATGGCAAAGATCTGAGGGACTCGTAGAGACAGGTGAGTCAGAGCTGAGGAGAGGAGAAAGGACAGTGATGTCCATGTCACTGAGGAGGCTTCCCGATAAGGTTTGAGCAGGGATGATGGAGATGCCCAGGTGTCAGGACATGGGCTCAGCTCACTGTTTTTGGAAAGGGTTGCACGGCAGGGCATCACTGGCCACACCATCTCATAGCAGCCGCCCAGTCCACTGCTGAAGCACAAAAGCAGCTGCAGACCTGAACGGATCGCACATGACTGTATTCCAGGGAAACCTTATTTGAAAAACAGATAGGTAGATTTGTCCCCTGGGCCATATGTGCCGACCCTGCTCCTAATTATTTGGTTGTCCTGAAGCATAAATCCTCTGGGACTGCCCATGGGGGCAGAGGAAGCCTGGTTCAGCTTTTCCCCACTGGAGGCCCCATTCTCCTGGAGCATTGCACTAGGCTCTGACCTGACCTGACCACAGGGCCCACCGCTCAGGTTGTGCCCACAGCCTCCCAGTAGCCAGGGTCTCTTCTTGCGCCCACAGGATTGATGGAAACACAGCCCTGCACCGGGACATCTACCCATCCGTCAGCCTTCAGATCCAGAAGAACTTTGCCAGGAGCAAATGGAGGGTGAGATGTGCTCTGGGGACTGCAGGCTGGGACAGGGTGACAGAAAGGCTTCCTTGGAGCATCCTAGTCAACAGCAGGGTTCCTTGCACCCTCTCTGAAATGAGGAGATGTATGCTAGTTTCAAGAGGCCACCAGGAGCCTGGCGTGGTGGTGTATCCCTGTAGTCCCAGCCACTTGGGAGGCTGAGGCAGGAGGACTGTGAGTTTCAGGCCACCCTGGGCAACTTGAGGAGACTATCTCAAGATTTACTAAAGCAGGAGGGTTGGGAAAGGAGCTCAGTGTGTGGCATCAGGTTGAATTCCTTGTACCCAAAAGAGAAAGCCCAGGGAGAGGGAGTGCTGGGTTGCGGCCCTCTGTGGACACAGAAGGCCTGACACACAGTTGCTCCCCAGCAAGCCTTCAATGCAGCAGCTGTGGTGCACCACATGCGGAAGCTCCACATGAACCTGCACAGTCCCAGCACTCTCCCCGAGGCCAAGAACAGGCCACTCACGCCCCCAGCCTGTGACACCAACAGGCCCGGCTCCCCTGAAATCACCGTCACTGAGGCCCCCATCCCGGACCCAATCACACCCCTCCCTGCACCAGCCCGGCCACCCTGCCAGCACAACCAGAGGCCAGCGGCCCCCGGCGGCAGGTCCCTCAACTGCCTGGTCAACGGCTCCCTGCACATCAGCAGTAGCCTGGTTCCCATGCAGCAGGGGCCACTGGCTACCGGGCCCTGTAGCTGCTGCTCCAGTTGCCTGAGCGTCGGGAGCAAAGGGAAGTCGTCCTACTGCTCCGAGCCCACCCTCCTCAGGAAAGCCAACAAAAAACAGTACGTATTTGCAGCAGTGAGAGTCTGAACCTGGCTCTCAGGGTGGGAAAGCACAGGGAACACAACTCAACCCTGACAGAAAGCTCTCTCCCATCAGGCAGCCGGAAGGGAGGGAGGAAAGAGCTCTGGCTGGGGGCAGGGACATGTGTCCAGCCCTGTCCCCGCCATCTCCAGCTGTGAGACCACTAACGCATCAGTGAAACGTTTCCAGTGTGCTCATCTGCACAGTGCCTAGATGGAAGCGTGTTTGCCCACTCTACCCGCCTCATGGGGAGAGCCTGCAGGAAACCAGAGCATACATGTTTGTGCAAAGTATTCGATGCTGGGTTTCCAAGCATATTCCTCTGTATTTGGGAGAGGCAGGGAGCAAAGGGCCCTTGTTGCCCCATGTCTTTCTATAGGGCCCTAGGCTGCCACCTCCTAGGGGACAGTGGGGTGGATGCGACCAGCACACATTGTCACCCCACACACACGTGCTTCTTCCTGCCACTTGTCCCCTCTGCAGGAACTTCAAGTCTGAGGTCATGGTGCCAGTGAAAGCTGGGGGCAGCTCCCACTGTCGGGCGGGACAGACTGGGGTCTGCCTCATCATGTGATCCACGGAGCCAATACCCGTGTCACTGTGGTTTCAGGTGAGGCCAGCAGGCCTGGGCTGGTGTAGCGACAGCTTCCACCCAGCAGCAAAGCCCATGGTCATCAGACCCTTTCCTTCACAGGAGATGCGTTCAGCTCTTCTCTGCCTTTCCAGCCCTGGCCTCTACCTGCAGAGGGAGGAGGGGAGCCAGCAGAGCAGGCCTGGCAGGAGTCGGTTCGGCTGGCCAAAGCAGCAGCCACCTGGAGGCCGGGAGGGCCTGAGGCCTGAAGCCCCCGGCTGCGGCAGGAGGAGCAGTGTCTTCTGACCTGTTTGCTGCGTGTCCTACACCCCAGCCCATGCTGGGCTCTGCGCTGTGTGTGTAGATAGTGCTCACCCGGTCTGTGTTTCTTGTGAAAAGCTTCCTGGGCCAGCGAGGTCCAAGCAAAGCCATACAGAGCTTCTGCTCTGAGTCCCCACTCTGCTCATGCTTGCTCCTGCCTCATTGGTCTCCTGAGCAGTGGCCAGACCAGGCTGCCTCCTGCAGCTTCCGGCCCCCGCATGAATGCCAGGCAGGCCCAGGTCTGACTCCAGTCCTGGCCTCCAGTGTTAGCTCCCACACCTCAGACTCCCTCCTCTAGCCTCAATCTAAAAACGACGCCATGCTCCGAAAGTGGGGTAGAGAAGAATCCAGGACTGGGGCCCCTAGGACTTCTCCTCCTGGCCACACCCCCCATATGCCAAAAGCTACTTTCTTTTCAGTCAGAATTCTCACCTTGCCTCTGCTCCCCTCTCTCCCTGAAAGTCTGGTGTATCATCCTGGTCCTAACCCTGTCTTCCTGTTCTGAAGCCCTCCAGCTTCATGCTCTGTGTTGTGCTTAATAAAATGATATTTTTCTCTATGGAGCTTCATTTGCTTCTTTCAAAGTCAGAGGCAGCTCAGAGACTTCATACGTGGCTGGGGTGGATGGTGCATGGGCAGCTCGAGGCCAGTGAGGAAGGAGCTTGCAGTGTGCCAGGTGGGTGTCCCGGGGCAGGAGTCACACAACTCAGAGCAAGCACGGGGCCATGGTCTGCCCCCACACTTTCTTCTTAATGACTAGGGTTAGAAGAACAGGAGTTGGAGGCCCAGCCCTGCCCTTACCAGCCATATCTGTGAGCACAGGACATCATTTAGTCTTTGGATTCATGGCTTCCTCTTTTCCAAAGGGAGTAACAATGCCACCTGCATCACAAGGACATGCAGCCGATGTGCCCAACACAGTGCTCAGCGAATAATTAAAACAATAACTAACAACCCAGAAGTTAATATAGATAAAATGTCAGCACCGTGCCTGGGATGTGACTAGCACACTCAGGATGTTCGTGCCATTCCATGTGGGACCCCCCACCATACACACGCACACATGCACATGTGCACACACATGCATGCACTCATGTGCGCACACGCACACATATATACACACACACAGGTTTACAATTTCCCTTTGATACCCTAAGAGACAGATCCTGGCCTTGGTCCTGCCTCTGGGAGCCGGAAGATTCAGAAAACAATGCTCCCCTCATCTGGAAATGAAGACTGAGCTTCAAGCTACAGATGGAAGCAGCACTCTGCCTCCATGACTGGCATCTCTGGTTCCAAGGCAGAGGTCCGGCCTCCCAGTTTGGGCTCTCCACAAGCTGGATCAAGTAAAGAGGCCCCTGAAGGTCTTGAGCTTACTAGAAACAATGGCCATGGCTCACTTCCTGGGAAGACCAGCCTTTTTACCTCTCTGAACTTGCAGATTCCTTTCCAGGGATTTTTATTGGGCTTTTTCATCTGTATACCATTTTTGGTGAAGGTTTTTATTGGTCCAGGATCCTCCATACTGGAGGACACTGTGCAAATACTGCTCCCCCAGCCCCTCAGCTCGAGAGTTTCCAGCCAGGCACAGGTCCACCCTGCCGCCTGTCCCACACACGCAGCGCCCCCGGCCTGGGCTCGAGACTGTCCGGGTGAGAGCTGCACATTTGGGCCCAAGCTGCACAGCAGGTGGTGCAGCAGAGTCTCCTGGATGCAGCCCAGCCCCAGGTGCCCCCAGAGCAGGAGTGGTCGAGGACTGGGCAGAGGTCACTTGCAGGTGGCATAGTAGAGCACACGCCCATTGATGTGGTCCCGGATCTGCTCCACGCGCTTCTCCAGCCCTGCCAGGTCTGCCGAGCGCAGCACAATGGCCTGGCTGCCCCGCAGCAGCTCCGACTCCATGTCTGAGGGGAGAGGGTGGTGAGATAGGGACTGCCCTTCCTGGGGGCAGCATGGTCAGGAGGGTCCCTCCAGAGGATCCTGGCCTCAGGTTTGTGGCCTGAGCCCTAGAGGCAGAGCCAGGAGGGCCGCACTCCCATTACCCCCGTGCCCCTGCACCTCTACTCTCAACTGTGCCAGGCTGACGAGGGTCCACTGCACCAAGATCCCCACCCTCATGCCCTCAACAGCTGCCACCCTACCCAGTGACCACCAAATGGTCACCCTGAGCCAGTCAGCTGACCAGAATCCTTCCCTACATTCCCTCCAAAAAACATTACTGGAGACAGATCTGGTCCTCTCCAAGTTCACTGCATGCCCCTTCCAAGTAACATGGGGGAGGGGGGTCTGCATGACTCCAGAGTGCCCAGCGGGCCTCTGAGGAGAGGAATACAGGCTGCAGGCAGTCCCATACCTTTCTGAGGTACATTTCCTCAGGTTAACACCTCTGTCACTGCTGGGCCCCTGTCTCTCCACCCATGCTGGGCCTCCTGCTCCCCACCCACTCTAGGCCTCCTCCCCACCCATGCTGGGACCCCTCCTGATATGTGCGGTTGCTAGTAGCCCTCCGCAGGTGCAGCAGCCCTCACTGGAACGCCACCCCTGGCAGAAGGGAGCACTCACAGGTCACCAGGCTGACAAAACACAGAAACACATGCCTAGCAGGTGTTAAAAAGCCCCACTCCCAGATGCTGGCCATTGTAATGTCACTTCTGAGCTCTGATTCCCCTTACTTTGGCCATTTTGTGTTTGTTAGCACTTTGGACAATAGCAAAAATTTACTGGCTACATCAGGCTTGCAGTTGTCCAGAACTCAAGGGCATTTCCAGGTGAGTCACATCGCCTGTCTGCCAGTCACATACCAGTTATAACATTTTTAGCCACACGAGCCCCTGAGAGGCGAGGCCTCACTTGAGCTGGGCTGTGGCACAGGCCCACACAAGGCAGCAGTCCCATTTTCCCTGATTTACGTGTATCCAGGTGGCTTCATCCCATCATCTCTGACATTGCAACTGCCTCCGAATACTCATTCTGGTCTCGTCGTTCACTGTCTGCCATCCACAGAATTGATAAGCAAGTTCTTAGCCTCAGACCTAGTGCTGACGGACAAGGCCAAGCAGGCAGCAGCCCAGCCCCTGGCTCTATCCTCAGGATTGGCTCCTCCTTCCTGCCTCATGCTTCAGCCTCACAGCTGTCCCTCTGTGAAGCCACCAGTCGCGCCTCCTAGGATGCCCGCCTGGCCTCTCAATGACAAATCTGCCCGCCACTTTGGCTGGAAGACAGAGAAGCCATGCTTGTGCTATTTACTGGACACACCAGCCGTAGGCCCACCAGAGACTGATGGACTTGTGGGAACCTCTGTTCATTCTGGAGAGAAGTCATAAAAGCTGCTGTCACCCCTCTGCCACATTCAAACTGCTGAGACAGTTCCCTAGGGGCCCGGGGCCAGCCTGCCCCGCTCACCCCGCTTATGAAGCCAGGGTGCGGAGCCGGGGTCCTTCCCTCCCTCCCGTCCCGCTGGCCCTGCTCCACCCTCCTCTTCTGTCCATCAGGTCAGACTCCTTCATGCTGCTCACTCTCTCCACATCTTCTCCCAGCCTGCACCTCCTGCCGGGCCCACCTCAAACATCATCTTTTCTAAACATTACACCCCTTGAACTCTTCAGGCTGAAACATTAGTCCTCAGACTTCCCAAGCTCTGACTGTGTGTGCACCCCACCCATGCACAGGCCACCTGATGCCATAGGTGTCACGCACCTGGAAGGTGACAGAAGAATGGCTGCTCCTGGGCAGCAAGCCTCCTCAGGCCAAGCTGGCATGGACGCCTTAGCTTCCCCGCAGCCCCATCCCGAGTGTACTCACCCCCCCCCCCCCGCCTCCCCAGCTCCCCCTCCCCCACACCACCCCCCAGAGTGTGGCGGGGAAGGGGGGGGCTCTGGGCAGGACAGCCTTCAGGTCACAAGCCCAGCCCTCACCTTGCATCCTGTCCATCATCTCCACGGTCTCCCCGAACAGCTCCTCAGCTTCCATCTTTACACTGTGAATGCGGCTGCCCTGCTCACCCAGCGTGGGACTTCGGCCCAGCCGGTCCTTCAGCTCCGCATACCGCTGTTTGATCCTCTCAAATCCCTGAAAAAGGCAGACAGCATGGGCTTGGTGTCACCACCACAACCACCCCAAGTCCTAGCAGGCTGTGGCTAAAGGACTAGACACCACCCAAACCACCACAAAGTAACCAAGGGCCTCTTGTTATCTGCCCGTGGGTCAGTTTCCCCTATGGAGCCTCCAGGCCAAGATGGTGACTGACCGTCCTGCATCCCCTCCCTCCACATCCAGACCCAGCCAGGCCCCCACTGCAGGCACAGTGCTAAGCGTACAACAAGCAAGGGGTCCCCACATGGGGACTGCCACACAGCAGCACCCTAGCCCTGTGGCTGCCTGGCTGTGCTTGGGGCACGAGGGTGGTTCCTTGACCTTTAACGTAATCTTGGCAGTGACAGAGTCTAGAGTGTCTGGCCAGGCTGGGACTGAAGAGACGAGCTCCAGATACACAAAACACGCATGCTGCAGAGGGGCTCTGGGCCTGGGGACAACCTGCTGCACCCTCAGTGTCCCCTACCAGCTACACAGAGGCAGCCAGAGGTGGGGCTCAAATGCCAGGTTCACTCTGGGTTCATCTTTCTTAGTCTTTTTATTCTACAGAGTGTGTGTGTGTGTGTGTGTGTGTGTGTGTGTGTGTGTTTCACTGTCCTGAAGATTGAACCCACTAAGCTAACCCAGGGCCTTCTTACTAAGCTAGATCCTCAGCCCTTTTTCATTTTTGAGATAGAATCTTGCTAAATCACTAAGTTGCTCAGGCTGGGCTCAAACTTGTGACCCTCCTATGCCTCAGCTTCCCAGAATGCTAGGATTAGAGGAATATGTGCTTTTGAATGCATGGTCTCAAAGGTCCCTCTTGCTCAGGAAGCCCTGGCAGGCTGCGCCTGGTTTGCTCTGCCCTCTTTGTACCTCTTGCGCGCTCAGGGCTCTCTGGCTGGCGCCCTCCGCGAGCTGCTGGGCCTGGGCTGCCTGTGCCCGATGCTGCTGGGCCTGGCGCCGGAGCGCCTCCATCCGTGCCTGGAAGCCGCCCAGTTGCTCTGTCATGCCCATCACTATCCCTTCCGCTGGTGCCAAGACCTGCTGAACCTGATGAGAAGGAAGAGGAGATGGTGGGGGGGTCTCACAGGCAGTGAGCCCTTTCCCCCTTCAGCTCCTACCCTTCAGGTGGCAGAGTCCCCTTGCCCACACACCGCAATGGTATCCTTCAAAGTGTCCACTGGCCACTGATGCCCAGCCCTTCTCCTCCCCTCTACTGCCCCACCCCAGCTCTCTGCATCCTAGAGATGAGAAAACCGCACGTTATAGTCTACCTTCTCCAGCCCCCAGCTCATTCAAATAGGCCACCTTCTAGAATCTTCTCTGTTTGTTCATTCCCAGTTTCCTGGAGGAGGCCAGGATGCCTCACCTCAGCAACCCTGTCCTGGATCAGCCGCAGGGCACGGCCAGTCCCTTGCATGGTGTTCTGAGCTTCCTGAAGCGCCACTGCACCCTGCCTCAGGTTGCCAACCACATCCTCCACCTGGCCTTCCACAGAGTGGGCACGGATCCTGAGAGGGCCAAGGAAGGAGGACAGCAAGGGTGAGGGGACAGGAAGTGAACACAGGCGTGGCACCATTGCAGGTGGCCTGGAAGTGCCCTCTACTCCTTCCCAAGGAGCAGCAGTGTGGTGGCTCTTGCTCCCAGAATCCCATGCCCCAAGCAGATCCAGTGGTGCAGGCATCATTACCAAGACACCTTTGGATACAGTGACCCCCATGAGATGCAGGGTCCTATGAGCACAGAGTACCCTGGACTGTGCCTGTCCCTCCACAGCCCCTCCTGGGCGCCAGCCTCTCCTGGTAGCACCGTCGGGAGCAACACAACAGCCCCAGCCACGGCAGGGAATGTTCAGGGGCCACGCCCACACCTGGCCTGCTCAGCCTCAGCCTGGAGCCTCCGGGCCCGGGCAATGTCCTGTTTGGTCTGGGCCAGAACCAGGTCCACATTGGGCAGCCTGGCTGCAATGTCCTGGATCTCCTTCATCTTCCGCAGAACGGTTGCTGAGTCTGTGGGCAGCCACAGAGCCAGCACAGCCTTGCTGACCTCCTCAATGGTGGCTGCATCTGTAGAAGGGTCTGGAAAGACAGTCATCCATCAGACTGGGGGCCCACTCACCTCCCCGTGGGGCAAGCGTCTCTCCAGGCCCCAATCACCCAGGGAAGGTGCCTGCTCCAGTCCCTCTGCTGGACACCCAGGGAGCCACTGCCCCCTCTCAGCCTGACTCAGAGGCCATGCATTTCCGGGAATGACTCGGGAGGATGATTGTCCCATGCTCAGCACAGCCAGGAGGAGGAGTGTCGCCACAGCTGTGGCAACTAACTATGTGGCACACAGGAAGCTGCGGGCTGAGAGGAGGAGGTGGTGCCAGACAGCTGGCACTGAACAATGCCCGACGCACACACAGCACCACGCGGGCAGCAGCCAGGAGGCGGGGCTGCTCCTTGGCAGTGAGACCCCTTCCACACCCACCCCAGCTGGAGTGCTCATCTCCACACAGGCAGATGAGGATGCTCATTCTCTGCTGGACTGTCACCTTCTCAGAACTGTCATCAATCTGGGACTTCCGCCTCCATCCACCCCGTGCAGGCACTCCCCATCTGCCCCTTCTTTATCCTTCTCTCCAGCGCTTCGAGACACACACTTGCAAATGCTGAACTCATTCATCTGATTTTGGTCTCCTCTCCCACTAAGATACAATCTCTGGAGAACAGGGACCAAGCTTTGTCCATGGTTATATCCTCTGGACCCATGCACAGTGCCTGGCACTTGGAGGTCCTCAGTACTATAGTGCAAATGAATGAATGACTGAAAGGACACCAAATCCTAGTCTCTCTCTTACTATTCAAAAGCTTATGACCAGGCAAGTGGCATTTCCAGCCTCAGTGTCCTGGTCTGTGAAATGGGCTCACGATCCCAAGACCAAAAGCCTAACAAGAAATGACCAGTTAGCAAGAGCTTTTACAAACCAAATGCGATTCAGCACAAAGGCAGGAGAGCAGAGATGCTACCTGCCACGTCTGCCTGCCTTCGCAATGGATGGAATGGTTCCAGAGGGAACCACCGCCAACCCAGAGGCCTTGCCTGGGGCCTAAGCATCTCTAGGCCTCTGGGCCCAGCTAGATGGTTATGTAGGCTCTTCGCAGGCCCTTCCTCCTGGACCACAGCCATCCTGATCACAGCTGCCTTCCTCAGCTCAGCCTCACAAGCACTGTGTGCTGGGAGATGCCAGGTTCTCCTTTAGCCTGAGCCCTGCTCTCTCACAGGGCTTGCTCCACACCTTCACAGACCTCTCCCAGGAGGTGCGCCGCCCCCCACCCACCTTGGTGCTCACTCTACCCCACAGGATGTCAACCTGTCCTTCGGAGGCCCTGACAGGGCCCAGTCAGCATTGACTGCTCTGCAAAGGGCAGTGGGACCTGAAACCACAGGTGACACAGACTCGGCCTGAAATCCAGGGGGTGGCCAGTATATGATCCCAGCACTTGGGAGACTGAGCCAGGAGGATCGCTGTGAGCTCAAGCCCAGCCTGCACTACAGAGTGAGACCCTGTCTCAAAAACAAATCCAGGGCAGGTGACAGAAACCCAAAGGTAGCACAGGTTCTGAGGTGGCCACAGAGGAGCATACAGGAGGCTTTTGAAGAGCTTGAGGCCTGAGAGGACACTCAGCGGGACTCTGGTAAGCTCGTCCCTAGGCCCCCAGTACACAGGCGTGGAGCTGCTGCTGGTGCGGATCCTGCCTTAAGAACTTAGGAGGACTCTGGGCGGCCCGTGGGACTCAGGCAAGCTATGATCTGTGGAGGACACTCAGAAGATGAGCAGGAATTAGGCAGGTCAGAAGAGGTCAGGAGGGAGATAATCAGGGAGAAAAACATGGAAGGTAAGAAGGCAAGAGTGAGTGTGTGTGTGTGTGTGTGTGTGTGTGTGTGTGTGTGTGACTATGTCCATCCCACAGTGCAGCGATGTGGACTGTTGGCAATGGAGCGATTCCAAGAGGTTTGACTCCAACCTCCTCAGGCTGGACACCTTTAGGCAGGTTGGTTAACCGCTCTGCGCCTGATTTCTTATATGTAAAGTGAAGTAATAATAATGTTAGCTCATGCAGCCAAGTACTGTTCAAATTAGGTACCAGAGCAGTACGCAGAGCTTAGGAAGAACTTAATGCACCATAATTTATCAATTCCATTTGAAGAAATGGTAAGAGCAATGCCTCTTCCTCCAGAGCCACCAGGTCCCTCCTGTGCATGACCCCACATGCCCACAGCAGCCAGCACCAGTGCCACCTGCTCTAGACCCTTCTCGGGGTGACTGTGAGAGCTGGCCTTTCCATGGCCCAGTCTCTCTATCTGGCTCCTTCCCTCTCCTTGGGACCATCGTTGGCCTTGAGCCAAGACTCAGCGTAACTGAGAGGCCCCAGCAGGCCAGCCCCTCCTGTTGCACACATGAGCCCAGGCCCAGGTGAAGGAGGGAGCTTCAGCCAACCCTGCCTGCCTGCCAGGCGGGCCCTGGTCCAGCCCAATTCCAGACAAGTGGCTATTAAGCTTCACTGGATTCAGCTCAGGGGCATAGCTGGCCTCCCTGGTGTCCAGCCCTGGAGCACAGGCTGCCCCATTCCTTCGTGCATTGTCACTGTGTCCCCACACCCATGAAGCCTCCTGGACATCAGCAGGCCACCGATGCCTGGTGAGGATCCTTCCTGCCCCTCTCTGACCTGCTGTCTACACTGAGGAGAGCGCTCCAGCCTATCTGGGGCAAAACCACCACAAGAGCAGTAAGAAGAGCTGCTGCTATTACACCAAGCCCTGAGCTCACACTTGGCTTCTAGCCAAGCAAATTCCCTGGCAAGGACCAGAAATCTAATAATATCAACTCACATTCCAGAGGCATCTTTAATTTTTCAAAGCGCATTTTACATCAGTTATTCGAGCCTCAGGATAAAATACTACCAACCCCACTTATAAGTGAAAGATGAGGCAAAGAGAACCCAAGAGGCCGGAAGCCGAACAACACTCTGGCACCTGGACAGGACTACCCCACACAGCTCTGTCCCACCCAATGGGAGCAGTGGAGGGGCCCAGTTCTTCTACACATCCCGCCTGCACTGGTGATAAAGCCATAGGAAGACAGCCACCCCTGCCCTCTGGGGGCACAGTGCAGGGGGGAGAGGTACGATACTCAGACTTTGATAGCCACAGAGTCCCAGTGGTGGGACGAAGGCCAGACACAGAAGCAGAGTAGGAAGGAGAAGATGATCACAGATAAATAGGCCAGGACAGGGCTCATTCTGCAGACGACATTCAAACTGGAAGACCAGAAGCAGCTGTCTCAGAAAGGGCAAGTGACAGTGCCACAGCAGGCAAGGGATGGCCTGTCATGTTCAAGGACATCCAGGAAGCAATGGGGAAAGGAGCCAAGGGCACGCCCAGGAGATGGATGGAGGCAGGCTCCACTGGCCAGGAAGCAGCTGGAAGCTCATCCAGGAGCAAGGCCAGCATGCTGAAGGGTGTGAAGACAGAGCAGGATACAATCCGACTGGGGTATTTTTGAAGGGTGTTTGAGGCTATTGTGTTGAGAGTGGACCCAGGGAGGAGGCAAGGAGGTATGAGGACAGCAGAAGGCCGTGGTGACGTGCCTGGGTGAGGCTGTGGTGGGTGTGGAGGCAGAAGTGAGGGGCAGGCTCGGGCCAGAACATTAGCCAAGGACAGGGTGAGGGCAACTCACCCGTGAGGAAGTCACGGACCTGCTGGATGAGCAGCCGTGTGCGTCTGACATCGTCCTCCACCTGGGAGCGGCTGGTGCTCACCTGGGTCTCCAGGCGCTGGGCATCGGACTGAACCTGCAAGGCGGCTTCCTCAGCCGCCCTGATCTGTTGGCACACACCATGGTTCAGAAAGGGCTCGAGCCACTCAGCAGCCCCCAAGGCCTGGGCCTTACCCCTACCTCCAGACCCATCCACAAACCACTGTGACTGGCTGGGTTTGACTCCAGAAGAAAGGATGTGGATGTTGGGTTAAGGACAAAACAAAGCCCAAACACTGGCTCCAAACTTATCTGCCACTTGCTATAGGAACTTGGGCCAAATGCCTACCATGAATGGTCTTTAGCCTCCTGACCTGCCCAAGGGCTCTAGGTCCCTTCCACCTCCCACCTGATCCCCACCTGTACTGCACCTACCATCTGCCGGGTCTGCTGAAGCTGCGAGCTGAAGGCCCGCAGCTGCTCGGCCACCTGTCCAGCCATCTGGAGGGCCCCTCCAGCCCTGGGGCGGGCGCCCCTGCACAGGGAGCCACAGGCTGTGCCATTGTCATGGGGACACAGCTCACCAGGGCACAGTCCTGGGGTGCAGGCTACCTGCCTGGAGCTTCCACAGACCTGTGGAGAGATAGGGGTGTCCAAAAGGCTCCTTATAACCACTCTCATCCCACACTGGGAAACAACCAGCCAGACGTCTCCATGACAACTGAGCACCAGGAACTTGTTTCCTGGGCAACCCCTAAACTAATGGTGAGGGGCACAAGGGTGAGGATGGGAGGAGTCAGTGCACACTGGGGCAGGGTCACCCTGGTGGCACATGTGTGGCAGCAGCTGAGTGACACCCAGGGCAGGGCTCCCAGAAGTGGTGCTCTGGTGGCTTCAATCACCTTGTTGATAGTGGGTGTCAGGTCAGGCAAGGAAGCCATCTCCATGCGCAGGGCAGCGAGCTCAGGCCCCCCGGCACCTCCTCCTCCTTGCGTCTGCCCAGCCAGCCTTTCTGCCTCTCTGCGGCTGTCCCTGAGCAGGCGCAGTGAGCCGGAGCTGTCGGAAACCTGCTGAGCAGCCTGGGATGACCGCTCATGGGCTTCAGTCAGCATCCGTAAGGCCCCTGTGGGAAGGGGAGTGGTTCAGAGCCGGGCCTGGGGGAGCAGGAGGCAGGAGAGGGGTGCTGCCGTGGCTGTGGCAGCGCTGGGCTGTCTGTGTCCCCACTCCTCACCTGCAGGATCAGCACTGCTTATCTTTTCGAACTGTGTCCTTTTGTTCTGATATATAATGACGAGATCATTGAAGCTCTTGCTCAGACTCTCCAGATCTCCGGGGAGGGCCAGAATCTCTTCCTCTAGGGGCAGATGCAGCTGCAGGCCCTGGAGAGTCCGCCTGGGATGGGAGAAGCACTCACTAAGATATAGGAGGGGGTTTGCCTCCCACAACCTGCCACCCTTGTATCAGTGGAAATCGCTGGAGGGAAGGGAGAATTTCCAGGCTGCAGAGGATTGCCAGGGCACAGGCTGGGACACACGAGCCAGGGACAGTCTCCTTCAGCCCTCTGCAGCCAGGCCCACCGAGCTCTGCGCCTGGGCTCCCATGCTTCTCTTCCACCCCCACGGCTCTCCACCCACTCCTGGCTTCCATGAGGAGTGCTGTCCAGTCCCCTCCTGCTATGGCCATGGCTGGATGTCCCCCCAAAGCCTCAGGTGGTCATAGGGGAGGCTTTGCAGAGGTGGCTGGGTCTTGAGTGTGCAATGCTGGCATTGATTCACAGTGCAATGCTAGGATCAAGGGCTCTAGGCTTAAGGGTGTGAGTGCTGCCTGCCCTGAGTAGCCTACATAGGATCTGAGGGATAGAGTGAGCTGTGGTTATCCCTGGTTGCTTTGTCACCTTCTATCTGCCATGGGTTGTCTCTCCTCTGCCAAGCCACCCTGCCTGGGAGCCAGCTGACTGTGGATTGAAACCTCTACAAACTGTGAGCCAAATAAAGCCTTCCTGCTTTAACGATGGGTGGCAGGTACTTTGTCTCACCACAACAAGCAACAAGAGGAAAATAATGAAGATGCCTCCTCCTGGGCTCCCTCCAAGCTGACTGCAGCCAGCCTCTGGAGAGTGAGATTTCCACGCCATCTTCTGCAGCCCGAACCTCCCCTCCGAGCTCCCCACCCCTGCCCTATGGTCCTGCCCCACTGAGGAATGCACCTGCAGCCTACAGCCTGTGACCTCTCAGAGGATCTCCTCTCCCTGTGCCCTTTGCTCTCCACCAGCCTCAAGTGCCCCCTAGAAGCCTCGAATTCTCCACCTATGAACCTTGCATGGGCACAGGACACCCGCACATGGCTTGCTTCCTCAGCCTCCTGCATGCTGTGGACAGACCACTGGAGCGAGATTTAAGGTCAGACAGCACTTCCATGATGACCCCATTCCTGTACACACTGGCCAACTCCATGTGAGCTCCTAAGGGAGAAGACTGGGTCATATTCATTTTAATGTACCCAGCACCTTGCATACTGTGCAGCTCATAGTACTTTTAAGATACACAGAGTGCATGGATGAATGAGCAAATGACCCCCAACCTTAACTCAAGCCCTTCTGCTGGCCCCCACCCAGAAGAGCTTTAGCACAGTCAGGAGTAAGAGCCTCAGGCTTCCTTCTCTCTGGGCTACCTTTTCCCAGCAGCTTGTGTGCCACTGGTCCACCAGTCCTTGGGAAATCCAAACTAAGCATAGAAACTTCCAGAAATAATTCTCACTACGGTGACTTTGCCAGTGGGAGGGGCTGTGGTTGGAACCAAGTCTATTCCCAAGGCAAATTGGGGGCTATTTTAGCACCCCTGCCTCTCTGATCCCCTCTCCAGGGCAACTCATCCAGAGCTGATGCTCCCACGGGCAGTGCCATGCACTGAAAGAGCATCAAGACTGGGCTCCTAGCCCTTGGGGGCTGCGTGGCTGTGCCACATCACCTAGCACTACCTGTCTCCTTACCTGCAAACAAGGGTAACCCCAACCCCGCTCCACCTCGCAGGACTGTCACTGAGGTCAGAGCACCCCTGCAAAGCCTTGTGGGCTGGACAAGGCTGCAGGAACACTGACAGGGATCACCTTCCACATGTGCAGCAGAGGGAGTGATTTACCTGAGGGAGAAGATGCTGTTGGCCACCTGGGCCATGTCCTGTTCTGTGACCGAGGCGCTACCCAGAAGTGCTCGGATCTGCTCCACTTTGCTCTTGGCACCCAGGATTCGGGAGGCCAGGCCCATGTCCTCCAGACCTGGCCGGGACCACAGGCTGGTGGTAGCATTGCGGAGTCTATTGAGGCGCCCAGCCTGCTCCTGAAGGTCTGCGTCATAGGTCTGGAAGCAAGAGTGGCAGGCCACACACACTGGGTAGCGGTCACAGTAGCCTCTCTGGCACTGGTCACAGCGGCGCCCGGTGAAGCCAGGGAGGCAGAGACAGTGGCCAGAGACCTTGTCACAGCCTGGATCCTCAGTTGCCTGGAAGTCACAGTCACAGGCTAGGACCGGAAGAAAGGAGAGTCAGGGGACAGAGCCAGGAGAGGAAAGTGTCCTGTCCTTCCTGAAGAGCAGGTCTGACCAGATGGTTCCCCACATGATTCAGAATGACAGGCTGCAGTGGCTGGAATAAGGTCGCGCAGCAGCAGCAAAGGCAGCATCCCCACATGCAGGCTCTGGCCCCTAGAACTTCACACACGGGCTCACTGACTCTCGCAGAGAGTTTGTGCCCTCCACCCCCACCTTCATAGTGGAGACAGTGAGGTCTGCAGAGGCAAAGTGCCAGGACTACTTTGTCCAAGGAGGACACACATGCAAGGGAAAGTGCCCCATGCAGTGCTGGGGGTGGGGGCGGGGACAGAGCGAGACCAGGACTCCACATCCTGTGCTCTTGGGGAGACAATGCCTGTCCCCGGGACTCACTTCCTGCGGCCCTGCAGTGGCTGTTGGGAGAGGTTCCCCAAGCAACCTCCCTGCTGGGGACAGCCTGGCCTCGGGCAGGGAGACCCCGTAGCAGGGGACACAGAGGCAGCCAACCCTACCAAGCCCAAGCACCCATCCGGCGAGGTCAACACACACCTCGGCATCCTGTGGCCACATCACCATGGGTCCGGTCGGGACACTGGCGGATGGCCGCAGCGCCATTGCACATCAGACCATCAAAGCCCTCCCGACAAGGGCACTGCCCTGTGAACTGGACAGAGGGGAGCGTCGTCATGGGGGCCCCTGCAGGCTCTGTGCCCTGGAATCTGGACATACCCCAGGCCCGTGCTCTGCAGGTGGAATTCAGGGCTCCTGTTTGTGGCAGTGGTGCACCCCCTTCCCCAAAACATGGACTTCCACCCAGGGACAAGCCCTGAAATCAGGGTCCCAGGTCTCTCTGAGAGCCACAGAGGGAGGGACACCTGTCAGCCCTCCCTCAGAGAACCAGGCCAGAACAGTCACCTGCCTGTGGAGGGCCCAGGAGGCAGTTAGAAATGGAGCAGATAGGGCAGGCTGGACCCCTCCCCGTGGGGAGCCTCCTCTAGCCATACCTGGTTGCACTGGGAACTGAGGGAGGTGTGAGGGTCACAGGTGCACGGCTCGCAGCCCCGGCCGCTGGCCAGCTTCCAGTGGTTGGGAGCACACTGGTCGCACTTGGGGCCCACCACGTTGGGCAGACACAGGCAGCGCCCCGTCTCCTCATCACACGGCATGTCCCGCCGGGACCCCAGGATGCTGCAGTCACAGCCTGCCAGCGACATGCCAAAACAGTTCAGCCCCTGAGGACACACGTCCAAGGAGGGGCCCAGCTTGGGAGAAGCTCAGGACAGGTCTGTCCCCTGTGGACCACGGGGCTGAAACACACAGCCACTGTGCCTTCCGGGCGGAAGCAGCCTGGACGCTGCCCACCACCCTTGCTGTAGCAGGCTCCCTCCCACCTTCCAACCCAGGCCTGTGCTGCCACCTGCTGGAGGGTTGTGGTTCTGCACCTGGTGCTGGCGAAGACAACAAATCAGGCCTCCAGGGGAGCAACAGCCGAATCAACTTACTGTCTTTGGCGCGGACTACTGGGCAGGGAGCACCCCGGGTTGGGCCAGCCCGGGCCACCTGCAGCCTCCCCGACGCCACGCCAGGTGGGGCCCGCCCCTACTCACGGTGGCAGCCCTGCGGGTTGGTATGAGTGAGTCCGGTGAAGCCTGGTTTGCACAGGTCGCAGCGCTCCCCCTGCACGTGCTCCTTGCACACACACTGCCCCGTCACGGGGTCGCAGGGCGCTCCGGGCACCGCCCCATCCGGGTCACACTCGCAGGCTGAGGTAGGAAGGGCAAAGGATAGCTAAGCACTCAGGCAGCTGTCGGAAACCGGGCTGCCTGGTTCAGAGCCCAACCCCCCACCAGCGGCCAACTTCGCCACCTCAGCCATGTGTTTAGCCCGTCCATGCCTGTTTCCCCATCTGCAAAGTGGAAAAGTAACACCAACTTCATGTCTTCGTGGGGGCCTGTCCCTTAGCTCAGTTGTTTAAGGGCTGCTTCAACAAAGCAGTCAAGCTCAGGTTGCTGTGGTTCGATCCCCACAACTCCAGCCAGCCAAACCTGCCCTGAAGGCATTCGGAGCGAAAAATAAAAAATTAAAAAAAAACCTTTCATGTCTTCTTATGTAGCATAAATGAGTCAATAGCAAATAGGTGGACTAGTACTCTACAGAAGCACTTCTGTTGTTGTTATTTAGGGGGCAACTACTGGAGGCCGAATCTTGAGCCAAGCCCTCTCGGGTCTTGTCTTTTGCACCCCTCACAATAACTCTGGAAGGCTCACTCCACTTCTTTGACTGTCATCCCCACTGCTAGGAGGGGGAAATCGAGGCATGGAGATGTCAAAGAACATCTTCGAGGTCACATTGGGAGTGAGTGCTAGACACTAGTCCAGTCAGGCCTGTCTCGCTCCATAAACAATGGGAAGCGACCCCGCTGCCCCCACACCTCGACGTCTTACACACCTTTGGACATGTAAGCCTCTTGCATCCCAGAATTATTTCCTGATTGAGCCTGCCTGAATCGTGTCATTCGCTTTCTCCCTCTTTGATGCGCTCCCTGGTCTTGTGTGCACAGGAAGCTGCCTCTGGGGACTCTGTTCCCTTCAGTTTGTACATTCACATTGCTTCTTTGAGCATCAGTGACGCTCCGGTCACCGTGCATGACCAGAGGACATGACATAATCCCTGCCAGGGAGGAGTTCTCAGTGCTTGGGGAAACAGAAAACCACACTACAGCAGCTAAGCCAATCATAGTATGTGCACCCCATAGTGTGCTCTTACCCCTCCTTGGGGCCGATTTTTTAATGTAACCAAAGAATGTAAGCGCCCCCTGCAGGCGGGAGCTGCATGTAATACTTCACTTTGCTCACCTACGCCTAAGGTGGATCAGTGGTTGACTCATTAATGATCCAAGGGGCTAATGACTTGCTTAATTAAAAATTAAATGACTCCCACAAGTCCTGGCCATATTCAGATCTTGGAGCTCCCTGAGAGCCTCTGTTTCCCCAGGAACATGTGGCCAGAGGAAACGGAAGGTAAGGACCAGATGGCGCACGCTGCCCCAACTCACGGATGCAGGTCTCCTCGATGGGAGCACCTGGACGCCGGTTCCAGAAATAGTGCAGCTGACATCGCTCGCAGTTCTTGCCCTCCGTGTGGTCCCGGCAGTTGTCACACACACCTCCGTGTGCCCCTTGGCTGGCAGCAAATACAGCTGGGTCAAAGTGACAGGTCTCCGAGTGCCCGTTGCAGTCACACCCTGCAAAAGGGAAGCTCCCAGCTGACATCTGCCCAGCACCCTCAGTACAGGCCTGCTCATGACCAGCTCAGCTTTGTGAGGTGCTCAGGGCAAGTGAATGGGGAAACCAAAGCCAAGGGAGACTCGTGAGGGTTATACAAGGCTAGGGAACCAGGAAGAAACCATTGCAGAATGAGAAACCAGGCCTCCAGGCCCCTGCAGGGTGGCTTTGCTGGGCCAAAGGAGAACAGGGTCCATGCCCAGGCTCCCCATGCTGCCATGGCTCTCCTGCGGGGTCACTGCCTCTGTGGGCTATGCAGACAATGCCCCCCAACACCAAGGGACCATATGAAATAGGAAAAGGGACAGCAGGGAGCCAGAGAAGTCTGTAACAGGGTAAGGTTCTGGGCTACTGCAGAAGCAGTGGGAGGCCAAGTCCTGGCTCCACCAGAGCCAGCTGAGGGGGCTCAGGCAGCCCATAAGCCAGTGCAGCTTACACTGCAGAACTGCAGTTCAGTGTCTAGTGAAATAACAACAGCCCCTCCTTTCCTCCCAGGCAAGCTCAGCGAGATACCGAAAGGCAGCAGCCAAGCGGCCACTATAGGGAGGGGTGGTCCTGGGCTCCTACTTTGGCACTCATGGGTATCCTGGTCCTGTGCTGGTCTCCAGGGCTGGTTGTTGTAGAAGGGGGCACAGCGTTCACAGTGCGGGCCAGCAGTGTTGTGCTGGCAAACACAGACATCGTGGACCTGGGAGAGGGAAGCAGGTGGTCAGAAATACGCACAGAGGATGGCTGCAGGGGTGGCCCAGTGTCTCTCCAAGACCCTTCTGTCCACCATGAAGGGTCTGGCCCAGATGCCAGCCTTCTGAGGACACTGTCGCTGGATGTTTCAGCCCTTGTCCCCCTGTGGCATGGTGACCGGCCTGCCTGCTTCAGCTCTGTGTGTGTGAGCAGGTGTACCTGCATGCAGATATGCGAGTGTGCATGCGTGTGCATGGCCCACGCTGCTCCCAGCATGCACTTCACAAGCTCACCCCTTGCTCATCCCAAGCTCATCCCTGAGACAGCCCAGAAAGGTCCTGTTCAGGACACACTACTTATTGGTACGCTGGGATTCTAGAAGCTCCTGGCCTCCCTGCAGATTTATATTCTAGCAATCTAAGTTGCCTGGCTAATGGGGCTCTTAGGATGAATTGTTACTAGACTCATTAAGATACAAAAATAGAATACCTATTGCGTATTAATTGCCTTCCAAATTAAGCCAACACCTTCAGCTCAGCACTCGAGGACCGGCAGCACTAATCCTGCTCCTGTTCCCTGCCAACAGCTACGCGTGGAGCTGAGTGCTGCACCTCACATGCCCCTCACTGGCCCCCTATTTGGGCTTTCTGGTTTCCCTTCTGTCTAGAATGTCTTTCTCCATTCACCAGCAAAACCCACGTGCAACTCCAACTAGAAGACCCCCACTTCCAAAGGCTTCGCATTCTGTACAATTAAATGCTGCTTGCACCTCACCATCACCCAGGGAGCACTTTTTAAAACAGCAACACCTGGACCCAGCTTAGCCCCAGCCTCAGGGGGTGAGGCCCAGGCCTCTAAGCTTTAGGGAAGTGGTGACAGCACAGCAGGCAGGAGGGGAGGAGCACGCAGCTGGGTGGCTCCACCTACCCCTCCCCTGCGGGTAGCCTGTGCAGCAGTGTCCTCACCCTGGGGAAGGGCAGGTCCCCAAGGACAGGTCCCTGTGCCCCTCACCACAGGCCCTCCTTCCCCACAGTCCTCTCCCAGGTTTCTCATCTGCCTCTATCTCATGCCTGCTGAGTCCAATGCCGGGCCTGAGTGGCACTTCGCATCTGTCCTGACAGTGTCCCCTCAGGGCCCCACTGGACGAGCTGTGGCATCCATGGACTAGGAGTCTCAGCCCTGGCAGTCAGAATAAAATAAAATCAGAGCATCTGAGAGTGGAGGACCAAGAAAGTCCTTTTAGCTCTCAGCAAAACTATAATTTAGAATAGTTACATAATAATACTGTAAATTATAACTTACAAAATTTACATAAAATTGTAAATAAGTATAACTTAGAGTAATTTATATATTCTAACTACAATGTGTAACCTGGGTTGAGAAGTTTGCCCTTAAGCTCCCCGCAACAGCCAGACAAGTAATTGAAAATTAATCAATCATATGTCCAATCATACAGAACTATACCTGTTAATCTGAGCAACAGATTCAACAATAAAAATAGATAATACATCAACCAATGTTAATCAGCTATTCTTGTTTTGAAAATCTGTAACCTATGTATTGTTGCATGTTTCCCTGTTTCTGTCTTTGTTTCTGATTTTTGTTCTTGCTTTTGTTTTTACTCTTCAAAATAAAATACAATTTTTAAAAAAACATTCTGCCCTAGGCAGAGTGGGGCTCTGTGAATAACAGGAAGGAAGGAGGGAAGGAAGGAAAGAAGGAAGGAAGGAAGGAAGGAAGGAAGGAAGGAAGAAAGAAAGAAAGAAAGAAAGAAAGAAAGAAAGAAAGAAAGAAAGAAAAAAAGAAAGAAAGGAAGGAAGGAAGGAAGGAAGGAAGGAAGAAAGAAAGAAAAGTAAAACCATCCCCAGCTCTAATCAGTTTTAAAGAAGTACTGGGCAACTCTGCTTTTCTTCCTGGAGTACTGAGGAGCCACGCTCTGCCTTGCGCCCTCCTCAGCCCGTACCAGTCCCGCCCGGCTCCCTCCTGGGGCCCTCACCTGCACGGCGGAGGCGGGGCCCGCTCCCGGCCTGGGGGCACAGCGGTCGGCGTGGCCGTGACAGAAGCAAGCGCCCTGCAGACGCAGCCGGGACACCGCGATGTAGGCGCTGGGGGGGTAGGCGCCCTTCCGGGGCACCGGGGCCAGCTTGGTGAAGTTGATTCTCAGGTTGGTAATGTCTCCCAACTCTGAGTGGGCGGGCAGCAAGGAAGGAGGGGTGGAGAAGGAGAAAGGAAGGACGGAGGTCAGAAGCCAGCAGCCTCACGGCGCAGGGCTGCTAAGGGACGGCACTGTACAGCCCCCGGGGCCGCCCTCCCGTGCCCCAAGGCCACCTTCCCTGCCCCTGGCCACACGGCTCCCAGCTTCCCTGTCAGGTAAGCAAGGCAGGCTCTAAATCCCAGCCAGACTGGAAAGGGAGAGAACAGGAAGTGGCCGCGTCCCAGGCACAAACTTGTTGGACTCCCCTCCCCCAGTCCCATGGGCCGAGGAGCAGTCACACAAACCTTGAATTTTTTGACTTTGAGTCGCTGGAATCCCAGATGCCAAATCCATGAGGTTAAGCTGGACCTATACAGAGAGGTGAGAGGGAAGCCAACGAAGAGGTGAGCAGCGCGCCCCCTCAGAGGAGGCCTCCCTCCCAGCCCAGGCCCGCCCTCCCAAGCGTGACTGCTTCCTACGCAGACCTAGGGTGGGCTGAGGCAAGATTTCCACCTGCCAAGCAAGCACTGGGCCTAGTGGGGTGGGGGGCGTATGTGTCCGTGTATCTGTGTGTGTCTGTGTACAGTATCTCTTCTCTGAACATATAGGTGTTGCAGGAATTTCCTGGTTTCCCTGGATCAAATATTCCAGCAAGATGTATAGTCTGCACAAGCAGGTGTAGAAGATGAATGGAGGGATCTAGAACCCAAGAGCATGTGGGTGAGGCAGCCACAGTACTCAACAACCTCGATGTCGCTGAGCCTGTGTTTCATGAGTCTTTCATTAGATGTGACTTCTCTTGCATATTCCTGGAGGTTTTCATATCAACCCTCCACAAATCAGGAGGAGGTCCTGGTCCTTGATTTCGACTTGGTTCAGGATGTAACCAAAGGGAATGGTCCCACCCAAAGGCAGGAGAGGGTCTTCCCCCGGGAGGGCAGCACTCGAGGATCTGTGCAAAGAGCAGCTCTCTGGCTTGCTGAGGTTCTCAGCCAGGGAGAGGAGAAGAAGGACCACATTCCAGGTTGAGGGTTAAGTTCAGTTAACCTGGGACTCTGAGTCATGAATTTCCCTCCAAGGACTATGACTGGATTAGATGAGTAATCAAATCAAAAATGTCTTTTTTGAGTATAATGTTATCAGTGTAAAAGCAGATCTGTGCAGTGTGCTCTGGTATGCAGCTAGACACCCCCAAGTCCTTGAGCTGGGGAAAGTCATCTCATCCTCTCCACATGCCAGTGTGCCTCAGAGCCTTCCCAGAGGAGGGCAGGCCTTGCAGGGCAAGGGGAGCCGGCCAAAGGGGATGCCTCTACCTTTCAACACCCTATGGCTCTGAACCAGGGATACAGGGACGTCTGCAGGGCCCACTTCTTCAAGGTGCCCTTTGCTTACCTTCCCACCATTGAGGTGCCCATTAGGCCTCTGGGGCAGGGCCTGGCACCGGGCATCCCGCCAGTTTTGGGGCTGGCCCTGGTGGGCCTGAGGGAAAGCAGAGGTGCAGTCACCCGCCAGGTACTGGTACACCCTCCAAGTCCTGCCGAAGTCTGAGGAGCGCTCGATCAGCATGCCTGCAGGCACAGGCCCCTGTGGAGGAGACAAGCGGGTCCTGAGTGAGCAGGGGGTGGGAAGGCATGTGCTGTGCCTGTGGGTACCGCATGCAGCTCCTCCACCCTGGAGGGAGAAAGGGCCCAGCAGGACCAGGTGGTCCAGTCCCTGGGAAACAACAGGCCTCTGCAGCTGCCCCCCAGGAGAACAATGAAAAGTACTGGAAACAAAATCAGTATCCAGCTGTGACCGCCAGCTCGGCCCCCACCTCCCCACTGGGTTTCCAGGACAGAAAAGTCTCCTGCCCTGGAGCTTCCCACAGGCAACATTCTTACGCCTACAGGACTGGGCCCACACCCCTCCACAACAGCCACTGAGGCCAGGTTCAGGCTGTGGCTATGCTGAACCTGAATCCTTTCCAGAGTCTGGAAATGTCCAGACTCCAAGCCACAGTCCCACCTCACAGAGAAATCTTCCTGAGTGCCTATCGCTGATCATGACATCCTTCACACCATCTGTGTTGTCCCAAAGATAAAACGCAAGCTCCTTGTGTGACCCTTTGTCCCCACTTCCTCCCCGGGTGATGCGTCCATTTCTTCATAGCTTGGACCTCTCACTTCCTTGTGCTTCAGATTCGGAAACCCTAACCTCCAAAGCAGACCCCACATCAGGTCATCTCTCTGGTGTCAGGACCACCTCCGGTGTGCCTCCACCCTTCCCTAGTAGGCTCCATCTGATTTCTCCTTGTGCACTCTCACCTAGATCACACCAGCCACCACATAAAGAGTCTTCTATGTAAAATATAATATGGCTGGTATCACTACTGTGCTAAAAGCCCTCCAGCCCTCTGTGATTGACAGCCAGCCATGTCACGGGGATGGCACTGTCCTTGCCCTAGAGGTGGGCATGGAGCTACAGGACTCAATGTTTGCCTTTCAGGACTTCAGTCTTGCTTTGGCCCAATCCCTCCTCTCTTTGGCCCTATTCCTCTCTTTTGGAATGGAAGAGCTTGCTGTTTGCCTGCCGACAACTGCATTCTGGAGATATGTAATAGTTTCAGTTTTTTACAAGGACTCACAGTTAAGAATTTTCCTTGGGTCTCAGAGAAGACTTGGACTTTTGAGCGATGTTGAAACCTTGAAGACAATGGGGACTCTTGGAGATGGACTGAATGTGTTTTGCATCATGAGGTGGGCATGAACCTCTGGAGGCTTGGGACAGAATGATGTGGTTTGGAGATTGCTATGGTTTATATCTAGATGTCTCCATCAAAGCCTCATACACTCCTAGGTGGGGCTGTTGGGAGGTAGCTGGATCGTGAGCGTGTGAGACTGAATTATAGGTGTGTGGTGCTGGATCAGTACACTGGTGGGCTTAGCATACATCTAGGTCTGAATGATGGGAAGGCCCACCCTCAGTGTGGGTTGCACCAACCAACAGGCTTCTAGTCTGTACTGAATAGAAAGAGAAATCACATGCCACCTTCATGTGATTCCTGCATGCCACCCCATGGGCTGTTTCTCTTCTGCCATGCCTCCAGGCCTTGCACCCAGCCAATTATGGATAGAAACAAACTGAGCTGAAATAACCCTTTCTTCTTTTATCTTGCTGATGTTAGATATTTTGTCCCAGCAATGAGAAAAATAACTGAGAAAAATTTTAAATATCCCCAAAAGTTCAACTGTTGAAACTGTGGTCCCCAATTGTTGGCACTAATGGGAGGTAATCAAAACCCTAGGCGGCAAGGCCTAGTGACAGGACGTGGTAGGTCACTAGGGGCATGCTCTTGAAGGGCTCCCTGCACAATGGCCTCTTCTCTTTTTTCACTTCCTTGCTGGCAGTAGATGAGCAGCCATGCTCTGTCACATGTTCTCCACCACTACATTCATCCCTGCCACAAGACAGTGACAAGGCCAAGTGACCATGGACCATACCTCTGAATCTGTAAGCCTGAAGAATCTTCCTCCCCTTTATGTTGATTACCTCAGATACCTGGTGTTATGGTTTGTGTCTAGGTGTCTGCCCAGAGCCTCATGCAGCCCTGGGGCAGCTTCTGGAGTTTGTGATTGATTATTGCGAGTGTGGATGCTGCACCTGCCCAGGGCACGTGATTTGTATTACAATATAAGGATGAGAGAGAAGCTAGCTAGCTGCCTGAGCTGCTGCTACTCCCTTTGCTCTTGCTCTTTGCTACTGCCATGAATGGTTGCTCTCTGCCACGTGCTGAGTATGAACAGAAACCTCCAGTAACTGAGCTAAATAAACCTTTCCTTCCTTCATTTTGGGTATCAGGGATTTGTCCCAGCAATGACAGAAGAGTAACTGAGTCACTTGGTCAGTGATAGAAAGTTGACTAACATACCCCCTATTATAATTTAAATCAAGAGTGTCTACTGAAGGCCCATATATTAAAGGGGTGGCCCTCAGCTAGTGGTGCTATGGAAACTTGAGGAGTAGGGCCAGGTTGAAAGAGGTGGGTCACTGGGATATACCTTTGGAGGGCATATTCTGTCCCTGGACTGACTATGCCCTTCCTGGCTGCTAGGAATCAACTTAGCTCCATCATACATACTCCACCAAAATGCTCAGCCTCATCTCCAGCCCAAGTCCAGACCATGGATTGAGACCTCCAAAATCATGAGCCAAGGTGAATCCTCCCTTCTTTAATAAGCTTAAAAAACCAGGAAAGGTTTGTGACTTTCAGAAGTTAAAATGAGGTTGGGATGAAGAGTAATGGGACCTAATTTCTTCTGTGACTGAGGAAGTTGCCTCTAAGAGCCACACTGTCCACAAGGGCTAAAGGGATTTGGAGAAATTCCAGCATCATTTGACTCCGTGTCTCCAGTCACCGTCATCATACCTGAAAATCCATCATGATGCCTTGAAGCTGAAACCTTCTGTCCAGGTCCAGCTGCAGAGAGACAGGAACCACATCTGCAAGGGTACAAGTAGGAGCTTTAGGCCAAGGGCTCCCCACCTTCCCGGCCCTGCAGACGGCTCTGGACTGACTCACTCTAGGAAGCCTGAAACTCCCCAACTTCGATGCTCTATCTTCCCCTGAGAGAAGGGGAGAGCAGACCAGAGCACTTCTTCTTAGATAATCTATCAAATACCTTCACCTGGTATTTTGCCAAATTTTCTTCCCTCTCTCACTGGATGCCTCCAATAGCTGAAGTTCAACTTTGTCTTTTTGACACAGATCTGCGCCTGAGGCTCAGCTCCTTCCATATGTTCCAAACATCGAAAGTAGGTAAAGTGAAATAAAGGAGGGCCTCTCTCCTCTCTTCTCACCCGTTCTTCAGCCTCATAGACCTTTATCCCTACAGCATCCAACAGACCCCAGACATGAATCCGGGAGGTTCTGTCTGCCCTCCCATATCCCCCCACCACAAGACATACCGGGGAACCCCGAGTTCCTCAGCACCTCCACACCCTGTGGAGCCCATGGCTTTGGGCTCCTATAAGTGGTGGTCCTCACCATTCTGTGACTGCCACCAGCGCCTGGGGCCTGAGGACGAAGCCACATTCTCCACCCGGTGACTGTTGTAATTGTGAGGCAGCCTGGAGTCGCACTTGCAACATTTCATCTGCCACTGCGGAGGGGGAGACAGGTTCAGGGGGAGGACCCTCACAGACTTCTCCCCATGTCTTGAGATGTCTGACCCGCGGGCACAGCCTCAGTAACACCCCTAGGCTACTAGCTATCTTTTCATGTAATTTCTCTGTGTCCCTCCTACATACAGCAAGGGAATAGTTCATAGATATTTCTGTCTATTTATTGTGGAAGAAGCAACATGGCAGGAAAGTCACCTTGCACAAGACTGCCTTGAGGAGAAACTGAAGAAGGGTGCTAAGGGTGAGAAGAAGAAAGGGGTGAAGCCCACATTAACTGGTCTCTCACCGCCTGCAACACACCAGCCAGCAAGCTTTATATGCCAATTCATTCTTCCCAGTAGCCCGGGGAATACTGGGTTTTTGAAGAATAAGAGAAGGGACAACCAAACAAGAAAGGGCACTGAGGGACCCAGCACTAGCTGTGCCACCCCATCTCCTAGGGTCAGTCTTATAAACTGAGTGAGTGCTGCACTCAGTCCCTCACTCACCCCACAACTGTGCTTGCTGGACACATGCTGTGCGACACACATGGCTGTGGAACTAGAACTGGAACAGTGAATGAAACAGCCCGGCAGGGAGCCAGGGCATGATGATACCAGACGATCCACAAGGCTCCCAGCTCGGACTCCACTGGGGCCTCAGGGCCTCTCCAGGAACAGGAACGGGGTCCCAGAGAGGTCCCAAGCACACAGTGAGTGAGCCACACCTTTCCTGCCCTGTGGCTGTGCCTTGGAGTGAGACAGGGTCTCATCTGGAACCATGAGCTCTGTGGCAGCAAAGGACCATCAAGAAAAGGAATGTGGCAGAGACCTCTCGCCCCCTGTTATTTAGTTCATGCATATGTACACACCCACACACTCACACACACACACACACACATGCACCAGGCATACACAACATGATCTTGTCCCAGCACCTCTGTGCTCTACATATAACATCTGTGTCCTCCAAGTAATCATGACTCTGAAGCCTGTGCCCAGGGTACTACAAACTCAGTCACAACAGAAAGGCTGGCTTCAATAAGACCCTCCCCGACCTCCTGGTGCCCTCTAAGCAGGGACAACTGGACTGCCACACTACCATGCCTCTGCTTTATCCTAACAGTGTCTCGCCAGAACCAAGAAGGAGCTCTGGTGGCCCTGAAACTCTACTGGGTCCGGAAAGGCTGTACTAACTGGGCTAATTTCCTAGAAGGCATGGGGCACCCCAGACAGGATGGATGAACTCGACAGCTAGGCTCCAAAGAGACTGTCCAAATGCTTAGTGCTCAAAACAGAGCTCTGCTTTATACAAGCTAGCATCCACTGCCCACTGCCTCTTCCCGCCCTGCTCCCTGCCATCCACCTGCGCTGCTATGCTTTTCTTCTTGATGGCTTCTCCACTTGACATCGTGGGCCTTTTGTCTATCTGTGTCTTACGTGCCTGCCCTGCCAGAATGTGCGCTGCGTGAAGGCAGGAGCTCGGCTCCCTTCCCCGCTGTATTCTGGCTCTTGGAGAACAGGATGACTGCCCTAAAGAGAGATACGCTGCAGGTATCTGCGCGCAAGTGGATGCAGCCGGAGACCATACGATTGAGTGAGGTGAGCCAGGCACGCAAGCTTAAATGTTGCTTAGCTTCTCTTCTATGAGATAGATATATATCAGAAGATAGGTGGGAAATAAAATGTTTTTTCAAATGGCTGGGAGAACACATGACAAAGCAGGGAGGGTGGAAAGGGAATGGGATTTAAAAAAGAATAATGAAAACATAACTTTTCCAAAGAGGATGAGAACCAAGAGTTGGGAGGGGGGATGAAAGAATTCAGATGTGTTACATACATGTACTGACTCCCCATGGTAAATATAGCCAAGCATGTACTCAAATATATGCCTTAAAAGGAAAAAGAGAAGGGCCTGGCATATCATACTCAATAAATACCTGTTGAGCAAGTGAATGAATCATAAACATTCAAAAAATGCCACCTATTTTTATTAACATCTTGCCTGACACTTGTGTCCTGCACTCGGTGGAGTGGGGGGCTTTAAAGCAGGAAAGAGGAGCAAGGAGGACCCCGCATCAATACTAAGTGACGGAGCACCTGCACATGTAGGCATCTTGTTAGGTCACTTTGCCACAACAGCCTGTTTATATTTCACAGTCCCCTTATGTGGTAATACTGTTCATCCCACTTTGCAGATGGGAGAGCTGAGGCTCAAAGAGCTGGCATCAGTTTGTTACTGGCTGACCACCAATGCCAGCACCCAGGAGGACCCCTCCCACCTCTCTGTCCCATCCCCCTTCATCTGTCTCTCTGGCCAGCTGTCTTCCTTGCCCCATCTCGACGCCGCCTCCTTCCCTCTTAGCCTCTCATTTCTGCTCAGACATCAGCTGAAGGGCAGACCTCCTGGGAAGCATGGTAAAAAGCAACCATCTCTCTTGCCCAGCAGGCCTCAAGGAGGGCTTATTTAGCTAATCATGGGGTAGCTAAGGCAGACAGAGAGCCCTTTAGGAGGAAGTCTGGCTTCCCAGCTCAATGACACACAGACATCAAATGTCTGGGAATGGAGGCCTTCCTGGCATGGAGGCCTGGGATCAGACTGAAACACTGGGCACTTAACATGACCCTCTTTGGGCAAGAGAAGGCTCTTGCTGGACTCTAATTCTCCTCAAGAACGCGGCTCTTGTCCCTGGCAGTGGACGTGCCCTTCTCTGCAGTCTGCCCAGCCTTTCCAAGTCAAAGTTTTCCATTCCCCATCCTGTCTGCACTCAGTACATGTCCCGAGGACAGATGAGGGCCAGCTGCCTTCCGGCAGACGCCCTGTCGCCAGACATGCACCACCCTCCCACCCGGCTGGGAGCTGATCCCAGGCCTCCCTGGCATGGAGAATGGCAGAAACAAGGCTCTTTCTTCCCCGAGGTCACGGGACAAGGCGCTAGAGACTGTAGAAATGCCCTTGATACTCCCCATTGGACCATTATGTAACTGCTAAAAACACTCTAGAGAAAAAAATTTAATTTTATGGGGAAATGATTACATTATAATATTTTGTGGGGGAAAAGTTAGGCAGAATCTTATATATACATTAGGACCTGAAATACATGCAGCATTTTAAAGGGACAGAAAATGTTTGGGAGAAAACACAACAACACAGGTGAAAACATGTAAAACTGCTGACATTTATGTTGGCCTACAAAAGTGGCAACTGCTTACAATTCCACCTAATTTTCTCTGGGTAACAGAATCTTAAGTGGGTATTTTTTCCTTCTTTGTTATCTTTTTTTTTTCTGGCAGAACCAGGGATTGAGCTCAGGCTCTTGCACTTGCCAGGCAAGCGCTTATTCTACTGAGCTATCTCCCCGGCCCCTTTGTTATCCTTTAATATGCTTAAACTTTTCTACCTCAGACATGTGTTCAGTTTCATGCTCAGGGTAATGAAACAAAATACACCAAAGATATCAGGGAGTTTGGCGTGGGCTGGTTGCCTGCCCTGCTGCCCTTCTTCACAGTCTGGGTGTTGCACGCCTCCTCCACCCTCTGTTCACGTGCACAGGCACTGCTGGCCGGCTCAGGTGGCCTTGAAGGCCCGAGAACTGCATGCTGCTTATCATAGTACCACAGCTACAGGACAGGCTTGGCTCAGGCCTTACAGGCAGGCTAAGCCAGCAGGCTCGAGCCGGGTATTTTAAGTAGCTCTGCTTGTCAGCTAGCCAGTGGATAGCGGTCTGAAATAGAGTGGCTATGGCAGAAGCGCATGCGAAGACAGCCTGCACGTGTCTTCTGTCCCTCTGGGCCTCAGTTCGCCTCTCTAACTTTCTCTTACACGTTCACACGGAGTGTTGTGCGCAGCTGCGCATGTGTGCACACGCCTGGGCCGCAGCATGAGGCATCACCATCCATGCGGCCTGGGAGGCCTCCAGCCACCTTGGCTCCTGCTTGCTCTCCAGCTGGAAAGGCTGGGCCTGGTCCTTCCTACTAGAGCTTTCTAGAGGGATGCTCCACAGTCTGATCTGAAGACAAGCCCTGCCAGTGAGCAAGGGGCCGGCGGCGGAGAAGTGGGCAAAAGCCAGCGGGAGACTCACAGCGGGGAGGGCTGGAAAAAGAGGACACATGCAAATGCAAGCTCTGTGTCTCTGCCAAACAGCTCATTCTGGGGGAAACAGGAAAACGGGCTCATGTCACACGCGGCACAGTTCCCTCTGGTGAGTGGGTGGGGGCCGCCTGTGTCCATCCAAGAAGCCACAGTCAGGGTCACAGCCGCCAGCCAGGGCCAAGAGGAGGAAGAACTAAAACAAACAAGCCACAAACAATCCAGCCACCTTCAAGAGATGACACAGCTTCCATGCTCTCTTTTTTTCTTTTTAAGGTTTTTTGGGTTTTTTGTTTTGTTTTGTTTTGTTTTTTGGTACTGAGGATTGAACTCATGACCTCGCACTTGTCAGCCAGACATGTACGCCACTGAGCTATCTCCCTAGTCCCATGGCCTCTTCCTCAAGAGTAAAATGCAGGGTTGATAAGACAATGAGATTCTACCTGGCTCTAACATGCTATTAAAGTTCTCCTCATCCAACTAATCAGCCCAGAAATTAAAAGCACTCCCAGCAAGTATACAAAGACTTAACTACCAAGATGGACTGGGCGAGAGGAAGAAGCACACAAACGGGCCCAGGCCAGTCTACGAAGGACCTATTCTCAGTGGTCAGGAGCTAGGAGAGGCAATCTGGAACAGGAAAGAACCCCCACACGCAGGCAGCTGAACGCTGCCAGGACAGGCCGGGACTAGGGCAGGAGGGAAGCGAGCAAGACAGAAATATCCCAGGGCACTCGGCCCCACTGTGCTCAGCCTTGTGCCACATCAGCAGCAGGTCCCGGGCAATTCCAGCAGCTCAGAGCTCAAGTGTCTCTTTCAGTGGAGCTAGAGCAGGACACTAAGTGGAGACCTTGACCTGAGATAGCTTCATGCTTGGGGGTGGGGGCCAGCAGGGGAAGGGCGGGCACAGGGATGTGGCTCTGTCTCAGGCCATGCTCTGTCTAGCTGCTGAGGAGACTCAGCGCCTGTGAGCTTCCACCGGGAGCCCGGGGTCTGCACATACCCCAGACCTCCCAACAGCTCACAGGAGTACCAGGGCACACCTCATGGGGTATTGTGGCCACAAAATGAGACTGCATTACTGTGATATTTAGGACACAAAAATGTGCTTATTAACAAATGCCAATTTCTATTATTCTCATTTATGAACCAAATATGCCAGGAGTGGTGGTGTGTGCCTATCACCACAGCTCCTCGGGAGACTAAGGCAGGAGGGTCACAAGTTTGAGGCCAGTCTGAATAATAGCTGAGACCCAATCTCAAACATAAGTAAACAAGAACAAAGTAAATCTAAAGGATGAAACTGGAACTCCACACAGTTAGGACCCAAATTCCTAATTTTTGTCACACAGGCCATGCAGTCACATTGCCTCAGAGACGGTTCGAGGCGCGCACACCAACAAAGGACAGGAGGGGAGTCTGGACCATTACTGTGTGCATCTCCATGTGAAGCCACGGTGCAGAGAAGGCCAGGCAGCAAGGGAGAAGGAAAGAGAAATGAAACAAGACAGACAGGCAGAAGGCAGGGGCGAAGCCACTGGAAACAGCTCACTCCCACAGACTGTAGAGACGAAAGACAGCACCTGCAGACCCCCTTGCCAATCTTCATCCACAGTAAGCCTCAGATGGGGGTGTTCCTAGAGTCACACACCACCCTCAGGATGGTCCCAACACTTACTCTTTCCAAAAGGTTACCTGGATTTATTTCCTCTTACAGAGAAAACAGTAAAAATAAAAATAAAAAAAGCCAACGTGTCTCAGCTTTCACAGGAGTAGAATAGCCAAGATTTATCCATCCCCAGGGTTGCAAAAGTCTAGACTTCTCTTTTTCAAGACCCTGCTTTGCTCTTGGGGCTGTTTTCAAGCAGGGAAGTTCAGTGGGCTCCCTGGGGCCCCTGAGAGAGCAGAGGGCAGGCTGGGAGGAGCCAGAAGCAAGGCCTAGTGGAAGAGAGGCTGCCCAGACAGGGCTGGGGGGGGGGGGGGGGACACCTGAAGGGGACCTGAGCTCCCTTCACTGCCCCTCCAGAAGGCAAGTCAGGACGGGACCAAGAGTGAGCAGTGGTCTCCCCAGAATTGCCCAAAGTGGGCTCACTGGCCCGTGGCTTGAGAAGCGTGCAGGAGGGGGCAGCTGAAATCACTCTGCTGCCTAGAAAGCTCAATGCTGCCAGGTCCCTTGATGCTGTGGAGCAATGTGGACCCCAGGGAGCGCTTGCCTTACCCAACCCTGTCAAATGGGTCTTCCCATATCCAAGTGGGTGAGGGGCAGACAGCACAGCCTCTCTACTCTGCATTTCCAAAGTCCCTAGCTAGTGCCATCTATGATCAAAAATAGCAAAGAGAATGCTAGGGGTGGGAAGGACACTGGGACCAGAGATGGCCAGATGCCACCTTCAGGGCCCGGAGGGCAAAGACAGCCTGGAAAAGCAAAGCCACAGGTGGCCCAACACTCAGCCTCTCTCACCCGCTTCCTTTCCCCTGCTTGCTCCCCCCAGAGGCTGAGGGAGTCCAGCCCAGCACCCCTTTCCCAGTCCCTGTGTAAGCCTGCTTTGAGCACAGCAAAGTGGCCCAAGAGGCAGCTAGGAGGTGAGAAGACACCAAGAAACTTCACCTTTGGCAAACACAGAGTAAAGGAAGTAAAGAATCCTACTTTGTGGAGGAGGAAAAGAAAGAAAATCAAAGTTCTTGCAAAAAAGATTCAGAGGCAATGTAAAAGAAAAGGTACAATAGCTCTTTGAAAACCCCAAGCAATCTCCTGGACACACTCAGCTCCTTTTCCACCCCATGGCCTGAGTTTCCAACCCTCCCCAATAACCTCACGTCTCTGCGTCCCTTGGCTCACTCGTCTGTGTCTTTCATCAATGTGACTGTGTCCTCGTTGCCTGGGTTAGTAAAACATGTGGGCCACCAAGGCTGACAGATAAACCAAGCTGGCTCTTTATATGTGACAGGGGCAAAACACAGCAGATAAACTCAAGCCTAAATCATGTATTCTCCTGCTTGTTCTGCCCCACCACGCTCCCAGACAGCCAAATAGATGGTGGAAGTGCAGGGACTGCAGCACCATGGGTCTGCCTCTGCACACAGCCCCGCTGCCAGACTCCAAACCTCGGCTTTGCCTTCCAAGACAGGGCATCAGGCCCTGCACACTTAGAAGCCTGACATTTGTCCCTCTGCCTCTTCTCAAGACTTAAAAGCCCATCCTTTGCCACTGCCTATGCAAAAGCCACGAATAGGCCCGAGCTTTATGGAGAGAAAGAAGCTATTCAGTGAACTCTAAGTTCATTTCCTGTTGCCTGACCATCAGGGAACTCCTCGGAGATAAGAATCTGGATCTATATTTTCCTTGCTGCACCCCACCACCACCATGTATAGTGTTTGTCCCATACAAAGTACACTCTAAATATTCTGTGATCGAACGGCCGACTTCCCTGCCCCACACGTGCCTCCCCTCTCCAACCCTGGAGGCCAGAGATGAAGGCCCTACCTCTCCATGCTGGGTGCAGTAGGTCTCAGGCTTGGTCAACCCACAGGTAGAAGAAGCGCGGAGGAACTGGGTCCTTCCGATCAGCAAGTCTCCGACAGGAGGGTAGCAGGCCCCTCGGGAGCAGGCCCTTTGAGCACGCAGGAGGCCAGGCAAGGCTGAAATCACAAGTGAGTACTGGGGGGCACCCCAGAGAGGGGGGGGTCTAACAGGCCACCCAACACCCCCGGGGGGCCTGGCAGTGTGGCCGGACTGGACCCACTCCTCACTCAAGTACCCACTCCCACCTGGTAGGAGTAACTGCAGCCTTGATGCTGCCGGGTGAGGAAGACTGCTCCTATCCTCTCGCACCAAACTTAACAGGAAAGAGGAAACACTGACAGCCAAAAAACACAAGTGATCCTGAAATGTGGCGTCTACATGTGGGATTTAGAGTCAAGTCAGAGACGCAGTGGTCCCCTGGGACACAGCCCACCATCTTTTCACCCTTAGAGCACCCTTTCGGCAGCCTGGAGGAGGGCAGACGAGAAGCCATTTGTGGACCCCTGGAGGAGTCCCCTCTTTTGCTCTGTCTGCGAAGCTGGTCTAGCCATGGCTTGCAAATACCCAGCTACTGATCAGTGGGATACAGAGAACTCCAGCCACAGAACCAGTAGGAGTGAGATGGGGGAATCTCACCATGGAGAGCACTCAGGAACCTCAGACCACCCGCAGGTAGAATAAGAAGACACTTGGGGGCCTCTCAAGAGAGGCAGAGAACCCTCTTCCCCACAGGCCCAAAGGAGTGGGGAACCCTACTGGGTAGCCTCACTGGACAGAAGCTCCAGGCTCTAGGGAACACAGGTGCCACTCACACTCATTAAACTCTCTCCCACCTCTGGCTGTCACCTCCCTTCGACATAACAGGACCTGGGGCGGGGGGAACACTCACCAAAACACAGGAGGAAGAGTGCCCTCATCATCAGCCGGCGGGTGATCCCCCCCAAGACTCCTCACCTGGGACAAAGAAAAGCACCCGGGCTAAGGCTACACACTCACCCCTTTCCTTTCCTGCTGGTCTCCTGTGTTCTCAGGACATCTTTACCTAGTTACCCAAGGACTTCACTGAAGCCACTCCTAGGTAGCGAGAACACAGACCCCCCAGCCTCATCTCAGTGGGTGTGTGACTCAGACATCCCCTCCCAGGCTTCAGCTTTGTCCTCTGAAATGGATAGGAACCTAACCACTGTATAGGGCCCAAGAACAACATGGAGGGACGGAAGGGACAGGACCCTCTGCAGAGGAACAGCTACAGTAAGGCCCAAGGGCTCATTTCTGCCTCAGGGAGAGAGCAGCACCTTCTCAGTCACAGACAGCAGCCTCAGCCCAGCCCGCAGGCCCCAAAGCGCAAGGCCAGCACAGCTGCGGCCCTGGAGGCTCTCCCCTGTCATCTGAACTTCTCCAGTGTCGCCTAGGGCTCCACCGACAGTGAGGTCCTGCTGACCTCAAGTCCCGGCTAAGCAGGTAGAGAGAGACAGGCCTGCCACTTTAGGAAAAGTGAGAGATGATCTCATCTGAATGGCAAGCAGCCCCAAATGTCTCCAATGACGAGCCAGGATTCTGAAGACAGCTGCAAATGGAGGCTTGAAAGCCACAGCCCAGGTTGGAGGGAGACAAACTCCAGGTCTGCTCTTATACTGGCCTCTGCCCAGCAGGACACCAGCTCTGCCCCCGTGACAGCTACACACTCCCTTGGCTGAGGGGCATGTTGGGGTTCACAGGGGCAGAGCTGGTCTGCGAGCATTCCTGGCACCCTTACATCCGCATGTTTCAAAACCCCTCCTTCCAGTATACCCATAGGAGAGACAAGAGTCCATCTTGGAGGGCTGTGGCCCTGTGCTCCTGTGGCTGGTGATGGCCTCAGGCCCACCTCCTGATGTCCATCTGGTGCTCCCTGCACTCTAAGCCTGGCTGGAAATCCTTCCCCCCACCCCCCAGCTGGCCCTCTGAGTGCTCCCTTCCTTACCTCTCTTTTGTGCTCACCCAAATCTTAAGATGCTTTGTTCCAAGTCACTGTGATGATGATCAGAGGAAAAAGCAATTCAAACACTCACTCAGGCCCACAGGGAAGCTTACCCAGGGGAGCTCCTAGGACCAGGAATAAATCTGGCTCTGCTCTGAGGCCCCAGTCACCCGGGGCCAGCCTTTCTCCCTGCCCAGCCCTGTGCTTCTTACCTGGCCCTCACTGCTGCTGTTCCTTCTCCAACGGTGTCTCAGAGAGCTCCCTTGAAATGTGGGGGTCTCCTCTCTTGGCGCCCAGGTTTTAAACAACAACCTCACCTCTGGAGACTCCCTGGCTGGGCGTAGCCCCACAGCAGGCGGGCCTCGGGAGTCTGGCAGCTGCCACGCCCATCTGCCGTCACTGCACCTCACCCCACGATGGGACTGGGCAAGTGGGTCGCCCCAGCCGCCTCGGAGCAAGCTCCACAATGTCCACCTGCCTGTGGGTGCCTTGAGGGCTGGAGCAGGCTGCTGAAAACAGAAAGCACAGGCAAATCTCCAGGGCAATCAGAGAGCAGGACGGGGGTGGGGGGTGCAGCATCACTACCAGGCACTGCGCTGGGCACTGTCTCAGGGGCGGGAGGGGTCAGCTTCCCTCATGTGTCCTGGACCTCCATGGACAGAAGATCAAGCAGAGGCACAAAGGCAGGAGCTTGTACACAGTACAGCCCACCTCAGCCACTGGCCTGAAAATTGAGAAGACCCAAATGTCAAGAGCCTGGAAAGTACCAGATCTGTCTGTCAGAGGAAAAATGGAAAATCCTGAATTCTCAAGGAATTTGGAGGGTTCTTAAATGGATCAGGAAGGGGCTCAAAGCTCACCTCACCCCAGGAAAGTTTGACAGGAACGAACAGAGGAACTCAACACAGAGGGTTGGCAGGCAGCCCGAGGACAGGTAACTGCCTGTGAGTCACGGCCCAGCTGCTGGCAGGCTGGGCTCCCAGCCCCACCCTCCTGGGCAGGAATGCCCGCCCGGAGGGTCAGAAAACAGCCCTGACCGCAAGTGGCAGAGGGAAGGCTGAGGCATAGCTGTAAGTCACAGCAGCCTCCCATCCAGCACCCCAACAGGCCCCAAAGCACAGCTCCCTCTGGGGGTCCCGGGCAGCTCCTGCCCTGGACTGAGGGGCCAAACACAGGGCAGAAACAGGTCTGGTTCCACTGGCATGGCTTTCTGACCACTCTTCCTAGCCTGGCCAGAGGGCCTTCTGGGAGTCCTGGGAGGTGGCTCAGTCCCTATCTGGCCTTGGAGAGCCACATGGCACCATTTGGGGACACTGTTGCCTCCAAGGTGCAATGCAGAGGAGACCCTTCACCTATCCCAGCCCCGTCAGTGTCTCCCACAAGAGGCCCCCTATCATCGGAAGGCTATGCCCAAGAACTTGGGGTGAGAACCCTGAGAGGAGAAACACAGGCTTCCATGGATTCTGCTGGACCTGCCTGACTCCTGGCTTCCAAAGAGCACAAGCTGGGGGGGGGGGGTGAAATTAACAAATGGGCAGCAGGTTGTTTAGATGCATAACCAAGACTACAATAAACCCTGTCTTTTGTGCTGTGAGCATGTTGATGAAACCTGGCCTAGCTAGTACTCAGGGGTCAGTGCGAACAGCCTCCCTTTGCCCACCCCAACAGAACATGAAGAGGCCCCATGCAGACTCCCAAAGGATAGCGTCCCCACTGACACGCCTGCGCTTTGAACCCTCATTCCCCCAACTCCCTGAACTCAAGAGGAAACCTTCATTCTCTCCCCCGCTCACCACCAGAGGATGTGACAAAGAACTCAATAATAATTAACTCAGCCGAAGAGGGCGGGTGTCGCAATACCAGTCCGGGGCAGGCATCGGGCCTCACCATGAGTGGCTGGGACCCTATAATCTCCCTTCCCCCCTTGCCAGGACCAAGAGCCCAGGTAAGTAAGCATTTGGTGTCTCAGACTGCACAAGCTGGGGCAGATCCTAGCAGTTCAGCTTCACAGAAGGAAAACGTCAACAGCTCTTCGGGGAGGGTGACACACGCCCCATTCAAGTCTAGGAAACTGCTCGTGCAGACCTGCAGACAGGGCCCCACTCTTCAAGGATCCCTTCCAAGTCCAAGACTAGTCTCCTAAAAAGGACAGGTGCCAGAGCAAGCTTTGGGGGCGTCCAAGCTCAGTGTTAAAAGATGACTGTACTAGAGCCCACAGCTCTTCTAGGGTCCAAGCAGGGCTAACGGAAAGCAGGGGACATATGGCCCAGGTGGCCCAGCTCCCCTCACCCAGGCAGCCACCTCCTGCTCCAAGCACTCATCTCCACAGAGCCTGGGCTCATCGGAGCCTGCATTCAGGGATGGCTGGTAGCTCCATCCTTGATTTGTGTTCTTCTTGCATCCACAGCAATCTCCCAGCACATTCAGTTTGCTCCCCTTCCAATCCACTTCCACCCTTCTGGTTGAGCTTGTCTTCCCTGGACTTCTGCAACAGCTCCTCACTCATCTGCAGCCAAAGCCAAACACAACCGGACACTTACTTCCCTGCCTAGAACTCTGAGAGCCCACACACACACGCATACACAAACACATGCATACACGCAAACACACCCAGGGCCCTTGCTGTGGGTCCTTGAGACCTTCCCTACCTCTCGACCCCTGCTCTTCTCTGCTTTCTGAGACCCTAGCCACGGGCCTCTCGCTATGCTCCCAAGTCACCAGGCCAGCTCTGCCTTCAGCGTCTGTCCCCCAGTTGTTCCTGTTGCTCGCAATGCTCATCCACTGGATAGCAGCAAAGCTAACTATCACTGCATCTTAGGCCTCTGTTCAAATCCTAACTCCTCAATGAGGCCCACTCTGACTGCCCCACATACAATTACCAAAGACTTCCCTGCCAGTTATGAATCTGTTCCCCACCCTAGTACTCCCAATCCTGCCTGCTGCATTACTGGTGCATATTTTATTTTATTGTATATTTTTAACAACTCATACCACCTTCTACCCAATTACACAGTTTACCTACTTGTCCTGTCTACTTTCTGTCCTCCAGCAAGAAGGCAAGGTTCAAGAAAGCAGGAATTGCTATCTATTTTGTTCACTACCATTTTCCAAGTGCTCTGTACATGATAGGTGTTTGATACTTGTGGAATGAATGGCTTCACATGGAAGTATCAGTAAGTGATACAGTTTAATGAGTCCCTGTTTTGCACACTGATTTCTTCACAGCAGTAGCACACAGAACAAGTTTCTAATACCAGGAGTTCATGCACAGGCCAGCCTCACCAGGGTCTTTCCTTGAGGCACCAAGTCAAGATTACAGAAATGTCACCATGTTGACAAAGGCAGTAGCTTCCTTTGCCTACCACTCCTGGCAGTGTCTCTGACAGACCTCGAGGGTGCAATTAGGAGCTGTTGCCTCCATTATCCATCTGTTGGGCTCAAGCTGTGTAGCTGCCAGGGGGATCAGCCAGGATCTGATCAGTGAGCAATCAAGGGACGGCAATCTTTTTTTTTTTGGAACCGGGGATTGAACTCAGACCCTTGTGCTTGCCAGGGAAGCGCTTATTCCACTGAGACATCTCCCTGGCCCAAGCGACGGCAATCTAAGGAAGGAGCAAGGAGGAGAAAAGGTGGACAGATTGGCAGAGGAGAAGCCAGCCCACTACTGCTGGGGTGCTCAGGTGTGAAGGAAGCAGCACCAGTGACGAAGGCTCCGCACCACCTGCATGCGGTGAGTCACAGCTGAGTCCTCACCTGCGAGACAGGGTGGGCTCCAGCCACAGCCTCGGCAATGTACAGGTGACTAAGGCTGGCATGGCCCTGCACCCAGCTGTCCAGACAGTGGGCACCTCTTGTGTGCGCCTCCCCAGGAAGCAGAGAAGCTGGAATGCTGTGAGAGACAGATGAGGGCCAGCGTCCTACAGGGGGCGGCAGCAGGCAGGACAGGGAGGTCACCCCACAGGGTGACTTTCACGCCACACCTCCCTCTCCTTCACCCTCACCTGTCCAACCTGAAAGTCTGCCTAGCAGCTTGGACCTGAGGTCATGCAGACACTGGGCAGTCAGCCTACAATAACTGGAGCTGGCCTCTGTGGAGCACTCTCGATATGCCAGGCATTGTGCTAGGTCCCTTCTGCGTGTTAAGCCCTCTCATGCCCACCATGTCCCAAACAGGGCCAGCATCCAATGTCCTTACTTTGCAGATGACAAAAACGAGGCCTACAAATTGATGCCTGGAGCTCCAGTAGTCACGTCTTAATGGCTAAAGGGAGCTGGGGACGTTCCCCATCTCCTGAGCTACTCATCTCCACCCTCACTCGTCCCTGATGGCCAGTGAGATTCCATCGGACTCAGGATTTCAAGCCTCTCAAATGGTGCCAAGATGCAACATCTCAAAACCTCTTGGTGTCCTTGTCCCAACTTTTAGAGCCCTGGTACCAGCTGGGGCTCCTGGGGTGGTGCTAGTGCTATAGAAACATTTAGAACAGACACCACCAGGCCCCCTGAGGGCCATCTTCTCCTGGGAGGGCACAGAGAGCAGGTGCTGCCTTGGTGCCTCCTCTTGGGGTCTCCGGTGGCAGGGTTTCCTTCTCACACTGACAGGGAGCTGCTCCAGAAAACAGGAGCACCCAGGAGGTGGGGAAGACGGAGTGCAGGACGGGGAAGCCGTGGCGGAGTCTGACAGATAAGCACAGGGCATGACGAGAGGATGACACAACTTCCCATGTCAGGCTCCTCCGCACCGCTGCTCCCCTTGCTCCCTCTCTCAGAGTGCACCCCCGGTGGCCCCCTCCTGAGAGGCACAGCCCAGTGTCACCTGCAGCTTGCTGATCCAGGGCTGGTTCAGGGTTGATTCAGAGTTGGCCCCGCCCCTGAAAAGAGGGAGGACTATCCGGAAGCTCCTGCCTCCTCCACCCTTCCCAGGCTCCCAACTTCCCTCCAGCAGACAGGCCAGCCCACGGTCCCACTGCTCCTCTATGTTCCAACCCCTCTCCTGCTACTTTGCGCAGCCCCTGACCTCTGGGAATTAGGTTCTCAGGACCTGAGTCCAGATTCGATGAACTTCAGCCACAGATTTGCTACGTGGAGCTGGCTGTGCGGCCACGGCCCAACAGAGGACAGAGACACACACGGGGTGGGGGGCGAGGGGAAAATGTGTAGCCCCTGGGCGGTCAGCACATCCAGGGGAGACGGCGACAAAGCTTGCTTAGAGCGAGGCCGCGCACTCACATCCTGAGATCTGCTCCCTGTGCTCTCAGACGGCTGCCCCCAGGACTTTAAAGTCCTAAATATTTCCTTGACAGGGCCACTAGGGAGACAAACTATAAGTCCTAGTGTTCAAATTGACATTTGAGGGCTGATATGAAGGAAAAAAAAAAAAAAAAAAAAAGCTTCTTGTAGATTTCTGGGAGGCAGCACAGGTGCATCCGCTGCCTGTCTGCAAGGGGCAGCATCAAAGGGCTCTTAACCAGCGCCTCCCACAGCAGGGTTGGAATTGGTGTATGGACTTCACCTGGCTCCACCTCTACTGCTCAGTAGAGGAAAGCCTTGGGGAAGCTTGGAGCTCCAAGGTGGCTCAATGGCAGAACTTGCAAGTAGCATACGCTAGGTACACTACACACTGTGTCCCAGCCCAGCATAAAAATAAAATATAAAACTCCTTGGGGATGCCTCTCTGCTGGCTTCACTTTCATCATCTGTAAATAAAAAGGTTGGATCTCGCTGATTCTTCGCCAGTCAGCCATTTAGGGTCACTTCAAGCGCTGACAACGTCATTCGCCAAGGCCAAGCCAGACATCATCCAGAGATCTCGATGGTGTGCAGATGTTTTAACAGATCCTTGGGGTGAGGGGATCTGAGGCACAGCCAGGTTTGGGGGCCCTGAAGCTTCTCCAGCTCTGAGGTGCTCTGCCCTCCACAGTGGTGGCTTAGGACAGTAGTTAGAAGCCTAGATTTACAGGGAGGGTTGAGGGCTCAGCTGCAGCACTCAGCAGCTGGGTGGCTCTGGACACCCTCCGCAGCTTCCAGGAGCTGCATTCCTGCAGTAGGAATCCTGACAAAATCAACTTCACAGAGCAAGCCAACAAGACAGATGTAATTCTCAACGAAGCACCTGCTCTGCAATCAGCACTTCCACCCAGATGTTTCATAACACCATGCCAGGCAGCAAGCTCCCTTAAACTGCTCACTTCCCCTTGGGGGAGCCCCAGGCCCCTTGCATATCCACCCTATTCTTTGGGAGTGGCAAAACTCCCCAAGGGGCATGAACTGGATGAGAGGGAAAAGAGCACCCCTGGACCAAGGGAGTGAGGCTCCCCTGCTGGCCTCCAAGGACAGGGACAGAACAAAGGGCAGTGTCAGGGGAGGGAATGTTTACAAACACAGAGGACAGAGGGCAAAGGGACCAGTGCAGCCTTCCAGAGACAGGAACACCAGTGCACCACCTGATGAAAATCCCGGTGAGCGCTAGGCTGGACAGCAGCACGCAGCAGGCACGGGAGCACCCGGCTGAGGTGCCAGGAAGAGGGGCTTTCTTTCCTGGGGCCTCTGCCTTCGCAGTCCAAGCTTGCTCAGCCTCCCCACACACAGGGTAACGGGTACTCAGCTGCTTTTCCCTTAGATCAAAACTCAAAACTGACACCCTTTGAATCTAAAATATTGACAAACTGGTTTTCACAGCTCTGAAAAATATTTATAAGCTACAAGAGAGGGGGGATTTGTATAAAATGTACTTAACTCCAAAGGAAAACAACTCGAGTAGAGAATATACAAAAATATATTTTCTATCTCTTGATGTTTCTGTTTCCTCATCTTCTACCATGAGTGCATTTTAGTAGACGAGTCAGCAGCAGTGAGAAACAGGAAGGAGTGTGACTTGTGTCTACATCCGGTCACCTTGATGACCCCTTTCTCCCCCCCCCCCCCAGGCATCACCTGAGCCCCCTGCACTGACCTACTGTCTGATCTCCGGAGAGCCTGCGCTATATGTCTTCTACATGGTGTAGATTTCATAAGGTGTAGTTTTCCTTCTCTAAAGCACAGCTTCCAGGGGGTGTTAGACGTGTTACATGAGCAAGGCACTCATCAGAGTTCCCTGGTAAAGCCACACGCTGACAGCCACACCTGGGTGGAAGGCAGAGGGAGGGCGCACGCTGTGACATGTGATGACTCACATCTGCCCTCCTGCCTCGTGACTGCTTGCTTCTCTCAGGGGAGACCACAAAGAATGAAATCAATTCTTATTCATATGCACTTGGGGGAGAAAGAAGCAAGGAGAACTGAAATTACTACCAAGTTAGTAAAAGGACAACTAAAGGACAACCAAAATTACTTATGAAGTTGCCTCTCAGGATATGGCTGCAGGACTCTGGCCTTGCTGACTGCTCACTCAGAAACTCATCTCACAAGCACCACACACTGCTCAGGTGTGATTGTGTGTGTGTGTGTGTGTGTGTGTGTGTGTGTGTTCACGATGGTGATGTTTCATCCCCAGCCCCTCGCTCTCAT